AGAGAGACGGAGAGAGAGAGACGGAGAGAGAGAGACGGAGAGAGACGGAGAGAGAGAGACGGAGAGAGAGAGACGGAGAGAGAGAGAGACGGAGAGAGAGAGACGGAGAGAGACGGAGAGAGAGAGACGGAGAGAGACGGAGAGAGAGAGACGGAGAGAGAACCGGCGATCCCGTGCTGCGTGCCGAGCGAGGGAGTCAACATCTTTCCCCCTAGCCACCGGCGGCGGCAAATCTCTCTGGCTCCGGGGCCAAGCAGGGCCAGGGTGGGGGGGGGCCAAGCAGGGCCAGGGTGGGGGGGCCAAGCAGGGCCAGGGTGAGGGGGGGGGGCCAAGCAGGGCCAGGGTGGGGAGTGAGGAAGACGATGGCGAGCACGCGAGGGAGCCAAGGGACAACGTTGAGACGCGGAAGAGTGGGGGGAGAGTGGGGGGAGAGTGGGGGGAGAGTGGGGGGAGAGTGGGGAGAGTGGGGAGAGTGGGGGGAGAGAGTGGGGAGAGGTGGGAAAGTGGGGAGAGTGGGGAGAGTGGGGAGAGTGGGGAGATAGTGGGCGGAGAGAGAGTGGGGAGAGAGAGAGTGTGGGGAGAGAGTGGGCGGATAGAGAGTGGGGAGAGCGTGGGGGGAGAGAGAGTGGGGAGAGAGTGGGCGGAGAGAGAGTGGAGAGAGAGTGGGCGGAGAGAGAGTGGGGAGAGAGTGGGGGGAGAGGGAGTGGGGAGAGAGTGGGGGGAGAGAGAGTGGGGAGAGAGTGGGGGGAGAGAGAGTGTGGGGAGAGAGAGTGTGGGGGGAGAGAGTGTGGGGGGAGATAGTGGGCGGAGAGAGAGTGGGGGGAGGGGCTGTGGTGCCTCACGTGACCACGCCACCGATAACCACCACCACCATCACCACCCACACCACCACCACCACCATCACCACCAACACCATCACCACCATCACCACCATCACCACCACCACCATCACCACCACCACCCCCACCACCACCACCACCACCACCCCCACCCCCACCACCACCCCCACCACCACCATCACCACCACCCACACCACCACCACCATCACCACCCCCACCACCACCACCACCACCCCCACCACCAGCACCCCCACCACCACCACCACCGCCCCCTTCCTCTCTATCCGGACAAAACAACTAACGAAAACACGCGGGCGAAAGATAAAAGGATAAATCGTTGGCCGGATCGCCCCCAGGAGGGGGCGGGGGGGACTGTTGTCTATGACGTCCCCTGGCCTGGCCCCAAACCCCATCTGGTGGAGGCCAGGCGACTGGGGGGCTCCTACAGAAGCAGAACAAACCCCCCACTACGGGTGGCCACGCGGAATGTCCCAACGCTCGCTGCTGCGGAGGAGGAGGAGGAGGAGGAGAGGCTTGCCCGCGGCTCCTCCGTCGGGAGCTGGACCGGTATCCGCCTGGATCCCCGCGGTCATTCGGGAGGTCCGGTGGGCCGGCTCCGGCTCCTGCCACCGTGAGGGGTGGGACAGCCCTCCACTCGGGGGGCAGGAGGCTGCCAAACAACAGGGTGTGGGTCTTCTTCCGAACAAGGTAATGAAGGGGGCGTTGGAGCGTGGCGGTGAGGTGTGGGAAGCTGTAAAGCCCCAGGCTACTTTGGGCTCGCCTTCCCATCGACCAGAGGCGAGGAGTGGTGGTCGTGGTTACTTATGCCCCCACCGAAAACGAACATCCGTGGAGGGATGCAGGCAAGGCCGATGAGTCAGATGCCTTCTATGACCTCCTGTCACAGGTGCTGGCTAAAGTGGCCCCTCGGGATAGAGTCATCTTATTGGGCGACTTCAATGCCCGAGTTGGTACACGGTCCAGACCTCCCAAGAGACCCTGGCTGACAGAGGAGGTGTTTAAGCTGGTTGAGAAAATGCGACAGGCCCGCTATCATCGGCTACGGCATCCCACGTCGGAGAATGAGGAGGCTTACCGCAGCCTTCGCTCGGAGGTTCGGAGAGCCGTGAGGCGCTGCAAGGATGGGTGGTGGTCGCGGGTTGCTGAGGATATGGAGTCTGCCTCAATGGCCCACGATCACAAAAAGAACAGTGATCCTTAAGGTAAAGAACGGTGATCCTTAAGGGACAGAACGGTGATCCTTCAGGGACAGAACGGTGATCCTTCAGGTAAAGAATGGTGATCCTTCAGGTAAAGAACGGTGATCCTTCAGGTAAAGAACGGTGATCCTTCGGGTAAAGAACGGTGATCCTTCAGGGACAGAACGGTGATCCTTCAGGAAAAGAACGGTGATCCTTCAGGGACAGAACGGTGATCCTTCAGGGACAGAACGGTGATCCTTCAGGGACAGAACGGTGATCCTTCAGGCACAGAACGGTGATCCTTCAGGGAAAGAACGGTGATCCTTCAGGTAAAGAACGGTGATCCTTCAGGTAAAGAACGGTGATCCTTCAGGTAAAGAACGGTGAACCTTCAGGTAAGGAACGGTGATCCTTCAGGGACAGAACGGTGATCCTTCTGGTAAAGAACGGTGATCCTTCAGGTAAAGAACAGTGATCCTTCAGGGAAAGAACGGTGATCCTTCAGGTAAAGAACGGTGATCCTTCAGGTACAGAACGGTGATCCTTCAGGTAAAGAACGGTGATCCTTCAGGTAAAGAACGGTGATCCTTCAGGTAAAGAAGGGTGATCCTTCACGTAAAGAACGGTGATCCTTCAGGTAAAGAACGGTGATCCTTCAGGTAAAGAACGATGATCCTTCAGGTACAGAACGGTGATCCTTCAGGGACAGAACGGTGATCTTTCAGGTAAAGAACGGTGATCCTTCAGGGAAAGAACGGTGATCCTTCAGGGAAAGAACGGTGATCTTTCAGGTAAAGAACGGTGATCTTCAGGGAAAGAACGGTGATCCTTCAGGTAAAGAACGGTGATACTTCAGGTAAAGAACGGTGATCCTTCAGGGAAAGAACGGTGATCCTTCATGGACAGAACGGTGATCCTTCAGGTAAAGAATGGTGATCCTTCAGGTAAAGAACGGTGATCCTTCAGGGACAGAACGGTGATCCTTCAGGTAAAGAACGGTGATCCTTCGGGTAAAGAACGGTGATCCTTCAGGGACAGAACGGTGATCCTTCAGGGAAAGAACGGTGATCCTTCAGGGAAAGAACGGTGATCCTTCAGGGACAGAACGGTGATCCTTCAGGGACAGAACGGTGATCCTTAAGGTAAAGAACGGTGATCCTTCAGGTAAACAACGGTGATCCTTCAAGGAAAGAACGGTGATCCTTCAGGTAAAGAATGGTGATCCTTCAAGGAAAGAACGATGATCCTTCAGGTGAAGAACGGTGATCCTTCAGGTAAAGAACGGTGATCCTTCAGGTAAAGAACGGTGATCCTTCAAGGAAAGAACGGTGATCCTTCAGGTAAAGAACGGTGATCCTTAAGGTAAAGAACGGTGATCCTTCAGGTAAAGAACAGTGATCCTTCAGGGAGAGAACGGTGATCCTTCAGGGAAAGAACGGTGATCCTTCAGGTAAAGAACGGTGATCCTTCAGGGAAAGAACGGTGATCCTTCAGGTAAAGAACGGTGATCCTTCAGGTAAAGAACGGTGATCCTTCAGGGACAGAACGGTGATCCTTCAGGGACAGAACGGTGATCCTTAAGGTAAAGAACGGTGATCCTTAAGGGAAAGAACGGTGATCCTTCAGGTAAAGAACGGTGATCATTAGGGGACAGAACGGTGATCCTTCAGGGACAGAACGGTGATCCTTAAGGTAAAGAACGGTGATCCTTAAGGGAAAGAACGGTGATCCTTCAGGTAAAGAACGGTGATCATTAGGGGACAGAACGGTGATCCTTCAGGGACAGAACGGTGATCCTTCAGGTAACGAACGGTGATCCTTCAGGTAAAGAACGGTGATCCTTCAGGTAAAGAACGGTGATCCTTCAGGGAAAGAACGGTGATCCTTCAGGTAAAGAACGGTGATCCTTCAGGGAAAGAACGGTGATCCTTCAGGTAAAGAACGGTGATCCTTCAGGTAAAGAACGGTGATCCTTCAGGGAAAGAACGGTGATCCTTCAGGGAGAGAACGGTGATCCTTCAGGTAAAGAACGGTGATCCTTCAGGTAAAGAACGGTGATCCTTCAGGGAAAGAACGGTGATCCGATCTCCGACCCTCCCCTAAGCCCAGGGGAAAATACATCATGGGTGGCAAAGGTGGGGGATGACCCTGCTGGGAATTTTTGCCCGTGATTTTTATCGGAATTCCTTCAGGGATTTTTTTTCAGCGGGAATATATTTTTTTTTTAGGATTTGTTTTGCGGGAATGTTTTTTTGGGGGGGGGTGGGGTGGGATTTTTTTCGGATATTTTTTTACGATACTTTTTTTTACGATAATTTTTTTTCTGGCATTTCGTTCTTGAATATTTTTCCAGGAATTTTTTCAGTGGGAATTTTTGTTAGGATTTTTTTCCAGGAATGTTTTTTGGGGGGGGGGGTGGGTGGGATTTTTTTCGGATATATTTTTACGATACTTTTTTTACGATAATTTTTTTCTGGCATTTCTTTCTCGAATATTTTTCCGGGAATTTTTCAGCGGGAATTTTTTTTGTTTGTTAGGATTTCTTTTCCGGGAATGTTTTTTCGGGGGTGGGATTTTTTTCGGATATTTTTTTACGATACTTTTTTACGATAATTTTTGTGTTTCTGGAATTTCTTTCTCGAATATTTTTCCGGGATTTTTTTCAGTGGGAATTTTTTTTTTAATTAGGATTTCTTTTCCGGGAATGTTTTTTTGGTGGGTGGGATTTTTTTGCGGATATATTTTTTACGATACTTTTTTTTACGATAATTTTAGTTTTTCTGGCATTTCTTTCTCGAATATTTTTCCGGGAATTTTTTTGTGGGGGGGAATCTTTTGGTCGGGACTTTTTTGGGGGATTTGTTTTCCGGGAGTCCTTTGACGGATTTTTTTTCACGGAAACGTTTTTTTGTTATTTCGGATTTCTTTCTGGGAACGTTTTTTGTGGAAAGTTTTTTTGCTTTTTTTCCGGGAATTTTTTTTTGTGTGTGTAGGAATTGTCTGGGAATGTGTTCCTGGGAATGTCGAATTCTTATCTTCTGGGAATGTTTTCAAGTCTCCACTTTTCCTTTGACCATCCACGGAAACCAGCAGCAGAACAGCAGTCTGGGAATTGACAGCAAAACACTGAGATGGATCAGCAAGGTGCCAGCCTAGGTGCACCGGGCATAGCACAAACACGGGCAGGTGAGTGGGTGGGTGGGTGAGTGGGTGAGTGAGTGGGTGAGTTGGTGGGTGAGTGTGTGGGTGAGTGAGTGGGTGAGTGGGTGAGTGAGTGAGTGAGTGGGTGGGTGAGTGAGTGGGTGAGTGGGTGAGTGAGTGAGTGGGTGGGTGAGTGAGTGGGTGAGTGAGCGAGTGGGTGGGTGAGTGGGTGAGTGAGTGGGTGGGTGGGTGGGTGAGTGGGTGGGTGGGTGGGTGAGTGGGTGGGTGAGTGGGTGAGTGAGTGGGTGAGTGGGTGAGTGAGTGAGTGGGTGGGTGGGTGGGTGAGTGAGTGGGTGAGTGGGTGAGTGAGTGGGTGGGTGGGTGGGTGAGTGGGTGGGTGAGTGAGCGAGTGGGTGGGTGAGTGGGTGAGTGAGTGGGTGGGTGGGTGGGTGGGTGAGTGGGTGGGTGAGTGGGTGAGTGAGTGGGTGAGTGGGTGAGTGGGTGGGTGAGTGGGTGGGTGAGTGAGTGGGTGAGTGGGTGAGTGAGTGAGTGGGTGGGTGAGTGAGTGGGTGAGTGAGCGAGTGGGTGGGTGAGTGGGTGAGTGAGTGAGTGGGTGAGTGGGTGAGTGAGTGAGTGAGTGGGTGGGTGAGTGAGTGGGTGAGTGGGTGAGTGAGTGAGTGGGTGGGTGAGTGAGTGGGTGAGTGAGTGAGTGGGTGGGTGAGTGGGTGAGTGAGTGGGTGGGTGGGGGGGTGAGTGTGTGGGTGGGTGGGTGAGTGGGTGGGTGAGTGGGTGAGTGAGTGGGTGAGTGGGTGAGTGAGTGAGTGGGTGGGTGGGTGGGTGAGTGAGTGGGTGAGTGGGTGAGTGAGTGGGTGGGTGGGTGGGTGAGTGGGTGGGTGAGTGAGCGAGTGGGTGAGTGAGTGGGTGGGTGGGTGGGTGAGTGGGTGGGTGAGTGGGTGAGTGAGTGGGTGAGTGGGTGAGTGGGTGGGTGAGTGGGTGGGTGGGTGGGTGAGTGGGTGAGTGGGTGAGTGAGTGGGTGGGTGGGTGGGTGAGTGGGTGAGTGAGTGGGTGGGTGGGTGGGTGAGTGGGTGGGTGAGTGAGCGAGTGGGTGGGTGAGTGGGTGAGTGGGTGGGTGGGTGGGTGAGTGAGTGGGTGAGTGGGTGAGTGATTGAGTGGGTGAGTCAGTGGGTGGATGAGTGGGTGAGCGGGTGAGTGGGTGGGTGAGTGGGTGGGTGGGTGAGTGAGTGGGTGAGTGGGTGAGTGGGTGAGTGAGTGAGTGGGTGAGTGAGTTGGTGAGTGAGTTGGTGAGCGAGTGAGTTGGTGAGCGAGTCAGTAAGTGAGTTGGTGAGTGAGTGGGTGAGTGAGTGGGTGAGTGAGTTGGTGAGTGAGTTGGTGAGTGAGTTGGTGAGTGAGTTGTTGAGCGAGTTGGTGAGCGAGTGAGTGAGTGAGTTGGTGAGTGAGTGGGTGAGTGAGTGAGTGAGTGAGTTAGTGAGTGATTTGGTGAGTGAGTGAGTTGGTGAGTGAGTGAGTTGGTGAGTGAGTTGGTGAGTGAGTTAGTGAGTGAGTGGGCGAGTGAGTGAGTGAGTTAGTGAGTGAGTTGGTGAGTGAGTGAGTGAGTTGGTGAGTGAGTGAGTTGGTGAGTGAGTTGGTGAGTGAGTTGGTGAGAGAGTGAGTTGGTGAGTGAGTTGGTGAGAGAGTGAGTTGGTGAGTGAGTTGGTGAGTGAGTTGGTGAGTGAGTTAGTGAGTGAGTTGGTGAGTGAGTTGGTGAGCGAGTTTTGGAGTGAGTTGGTGAGCGAGTGAGTTGGTGAGCGAGTCAGTGAGTGAGTTAGTTAGTGAGTGAGTGGGTGAGTGAGTGGGTGAGTGAGTTGATGAGTGAGTTGGTGAGTGAGTTGGTGAGCGAGTCAGTGAGTGAGTGAGTTAGTTAGTGAGTGAGTGGGTGAGTTGGTGAGTGAGTTGGTGAGTGAGTTGGTCAGCGAGTGAGTTGGTGAGCGAGTTGGTGAGTGAGTGGGTGAGTGAGTGAGTTGGTGAGTGAGTAAGTTGGTGAGTAAGTTGGTGAGTGAGTTGGTGAGAGAGTGAGTTGGTGAGAGAGTGAGTTGGTGAGTGAGTTGGTGAGTGAGTTTGTGAGCGAGTTGGTGAGTAAGTTGGTGAGTGAGTTGGTGAGTAAGTTGGTGAATGAGATGGTGAGTGAGTTGGTGAGTGAGTGGGTGAGTGAGTGAGTGGGTGAGTGAGTGAGTGGGTGAGGGGTGAGTGGGTGGGTGAGTGAGTGAGTTGGTGAGCGAGTGAGTTAGTGAGTGAGTGAGTTGGTGAGAGAGTGAGTTGGTGAGTGAGTTTGTGAGTGAGTTGGTGAGTAAGTTGGTGAGTGAGTTGATGAGTGAGTTGGTGAGTGAGTTGATGAGTAAGTTGGTGAGTGAGTTGGTGAGTGAGTTGGTGAGTGAGTGGGTGAGTGGGTGAGTGAGTGAGTGGGTGAGTGAGTGAGTGAGTGGGTGAGGGGTGAGTGGGTGGGTGAGTGAGTGAGTTGGTGAGTGAGAGGGTGAGTTAGTGAGTGAGTTGGTGAGTGAGTTGGTGAGTGAGTAAGTTGGTGAGTAAGTTGTTAAGTTGGTGAGTGAGTTGGTGAGTGAGTTGGTGAGTGAGTTGGTGAGTGAGTTGGTGAGTGAGTTGGTGAGTGAGTTGGTGAGCGAGTTGGTGAGTGAGTAAGTTGGTGAGTAAGTTGTTAAGTTGGTGAGTGAGTGAGAGGGTGAGTTAGTGAGTGAGTTGGTGAGTGAGTTGGTGAGTGAGTTGGTGAGTAAGTTGGTGAGTGAGTAAGTTGGTGAGTAAGTTGTTAAGTTGGTGAGTGAGTTGGTGAGTGAGTTGGTGAGTGAGTTGGTGAGTGAGTTGGTGAGTGAGTTGGTGAGTGAGTGGGTGAGTTGGTGAGCGAGTGAGTTGGTGAGTGAGAGAGTTCTTAGCTTACCTGCCCATGGGGCTTTTCGAAATGAGTTCTTTAGGCGATTTCCCATCCAAATGTATGATACACGGACGCCCTACACACACACCCACACACACACTCACTCAGGCAAAGCTCCCCCATGTAGCCTCAACAGACTGCAGGGGCAAGTGCAGCAGCAGCAGCGTCTATGAAAGCTCTCTGTCCATGTGGTCACAGACACAGAGGGGGGTGGAGTGACCAGCACCACGCCCGGCCGCCTTTGTCTCTCCCCAGGGCTAGCGATGTTCACTACACCACCACCGCTACACCAGGTGACTCATTTGAGGCTGAGTCGACCTAGGGGAGGGCCGGTTCGGACAATCGCGGTCACTGTGGTGGTGATGGCCGTGAGCGGGAATTGAACTCAGAACGCTACTACACTACACTATACACTACTACACTACACTATACACTACTACACTATACACTACACATTACTACACTATACACTACTACACTATACATGACTACACTATACTATATACTACTACACTACACACTACTACACTACACTATACACTACTACACTACACTATACACTACTACACTATACACTACACTATACACTACTACACTATACACTATACACGACTACACTATACACTACACTATACACTACTACACTATACACTACACATTACTACACTATACACTACTACACTATACACTACAACACTATACTATACACTACACTATACACTACTACACTATACACTACACATTACTACACTATACACTACTACACTATACACTACTACACTATACACTATATTATACACTACTACACTATACACTACAATATACACTACTACACTATACACAACTACACTATACTATACACTACTACACTATACACTATATTATACACTACTACACTATACACTACACTATACACTACTACACTACACTATACACTACACTACTATACACTACACTATACACTACTACACTACACTATACACTACACTACTATACACTACACTATACACTACTAAACTATACACTACACTATACACTACTACACTACACTATACACTACTACACTATACACTACAACACTATATCATACACTACTACACTATACACTACACTATACACTACTACACTATACACAACTACACTATACTATACACTACTACACTATACACTATATTATACACTACTACACTATACACTACACTATACTATACACTACTACACTACACTACTATACACTACACAATACACTACTACAATATACACTACTACACTATACACTACTACACTACACTATACACTACTACACTATACACTACTACACTATACACTACTACACTATACACTACACTATACACTACTACACTATACACTACTACACTACACACTACTACACTATACACTACTACACTATACTATACACTACACTATACACTACTACACTATACACTACTACACTACACACTACTACACTATACACTACTACACTACACTATACACTACACTATACACTACTACACTACTACACTATACACTACTACACTACACTATACACTACTACACTATACTATACACTACTACAATACACTATACACTACTACACTATACACTATAGTATACACTACTACACTATACACTACACTATACTATACACTACTACACTATACACTACTACACTACACTATACACTACACTATTATACACTACACTATACACTACAATATATACTACTACACTACACTATACACTACTACACTATACACTACACTATTACACTGTACTATACACGACTACACTATACACTACTACACTATACACTACTTAACTATACACTACTACACTACACTATACACTACTACACTATACACCATAATATACACTACACTATACACTACTACACTACTAAACTATACACTACTACACTACATTATACACTACTACACTACACTATACACTACTACACTACACTATACACTACTACACTACCCACTACACTACTACACTACACACTACACTATACACTACTACACTACACTATACACTACTACACTATACCATACACTACTACACTATACACTACTACACCACACACACACACCACACACACACCACACACACACACCACACACACCACACACACCACACACACACACCACACACACACCACACTACCACTACACACACCACACACACACACCACACTACCACTACACACACCACACACACATCACACACACACACCACACACATCACACACACCACACACATCACACACACCACACACACATCACACCACACACATACACCACACACACCACACACACACACCACACACACACCACACTACCACTACACACACCACACACACACACCACACTACCACTACACACACCACACACACATCACACACACACACCACACACATCACACACACCACACACATCACACACACCACACACACATCACACCACACACATACACCACACACACCACACACATCACACCACACACACAGACACACACCACACACACCACACACACCACACACACACAGACACACACCACACACACACACCACACACACACCACACACACCACACACACCACACACACACCACACACACCACACACACACCACACACACACACCACACACACACCACACACACACACCACACACACACACACCACACACACACCACACACACACACCACACACACCACACACACACCACACACACCACACACACACCACACACACACACACCACACACACCACACACACCACACACACACAGACACACACCACACACACACACCACACACACACCACACACACCACACACACCACACACACCACACACACACCACACACACACACCACACACACACCACACACACACACCACACACACACACACCACACACACACCACACACACACACCACACACACACACCACACACACCACACACACACACACCACACACACACACCACACACACCACACACACACCACACACACACACCACACACACACCACACACACACACCACACACACACACACCACACACACACCACACACACACACCACACACACACACCACACACACCACACACACACACACCACACAGACACACCACACACACCACACACCACACACACACACCACCCACACACCACACACACCACCCACACCACACTACCACCACACACACCACACGATCACCACACACACCACACTACCACCACACACACACCACACACACACCACACACACACACACACACCACACACACCACCCACACACACACCACACACACACCACACACACCACACACACACCACACTACCACCACACACACCACACACACCACACTACCACCACACACACCACACACACACCACACACACCACACACAAACACACCACACACACACACACACCACACACACACCACACACACCACACACACTACACCACACTACCACCACACACACCACACACACCACACTACCACCACACACACCACACACACACCACACACACACCACACACACACACCACACACACCACACTACCACCACACACCACACACACCACACTACCACCACACACACACACCACACACACCACACTACCACCACACACACCACACACACACCACACACACCACACTACCACCACACACACACCACACTACCACCACACACACGTCATTTTTTGAGGCCGAGTGGACCTAGGGGAGTACCTGTCAAGTTGGATGTCGCCACGCTGGGGATGCGGAGAGGAGCGGCGTCGTCCAATCTACACAACAACAACATCAACAACATCAACAACAACAACATCATCAACAACACCATCAACAACATCATCGTCAACAATAACAACATCAACAACAACATCAACAACATCAACATCAACAACATCAACAAGAAAATCAACAACAACAACATCAACAACAACATCAACAAAATCAACAACAACATCAACAACAACATCAACAACATCATCAACAACAACATCATCGTCAACAATAACAACATCAACAACATCAACAACAACATCAACAACAACATCAACAACATCAACAAGAAAATCAACAACAACAACATCAACAACAAAATCAACAACAACAACATCAACAACAATATCACCAACAACATCAACAACAACATCAACAACAACATCAACAACATCAACAACAACATCAACAACAACATCAACAACAACATCAATAACAACAACATCACCAACAACAACATCATCAACAACATCATCAACATCAACAACATCATCAACATCAACAACATAATCAACATCAACAACATCATCAACATTATCATCAACGTCATCATCAACATCATCAACATCACCTGTGTGTACCCCTCACCTGAATACCACCACCACCACAATCACAACACCACCACCACAATCACAACACCACCACCACCACCATCACCACCACCATCACCACCACCACCATCATCACCATCATCACCACAATCACAACACCACCACCACCACCACAATCACAACACCACCACCACCACCACCCCCACCACCACCATTACCCCTCCTTACCTGTGTAGCACTACCATCACCACCACCACCATCATCACTACCACTACCATCACCACCACCACCACCATCACAATCACAACATCATCACCACCACCACCATCACCACCATCACCACCACCACAATCACAACATCATCATCACCACCATCATCATCACCACCACCACCACCATCACCACCATCACCACCACCACCACCACCCCCACCACCACCACCACCACAATCACAACACCACCACCACCACAATCACAACACCACCACTACAATCACAACACCACCACCACCACAATCACAACACCACCACCACAATCACAACAACACCACCACCACCATCACCATCACCACCACCATCACCATCACCACCACCACCACCATCACCACCACCACCATCACCACCACCACCACCACCACCATCACCACCACCATCACCACCACCATCACCACCACCATCACCACCACCACCATCACCACCACCATCACCACCACCATCATCACCACCACCACCACCACCATCACCACCATCACCACCACCACCATCACCACCACCACCACCACCATCACCACCACCATCACCACCACCACCACCACCATCACCACCACCATCACCACCACCATCGCCTCACCTGCGTACGCGAGATGCTGGCACAAAGACTCCACGTCCTGGTGAGCAGCTGAAGTAGCGATGATGATGGTGGTGGTGGTGGTGATGGAGGTGCTGCTGCTGCTGCTCAGCGCCTCCACCACCAGCGGCGGAGTCGTTCCCGGCAGAGTCGTTCCCGGCGGAGTCGTCCACGGGGTGGTCCAACTCCACTCCACACCAGCGGCCTTGATGTGGAGCGTCAGGGGTGGGGTGAGGGGGGTGGTGGTGGTGATGGTGATGATGGTGGTGATGGTGGTGATGGTGGTGATGGTGGTGATGTTGGTGGTGGTGGTGGTGAGGGTGGTGATGGTGATGGTGGTGATGGTGACGATGGTGGTGATGATGATGGTGGTGATGATGGTGGTGATGATGTTTCTGGTGATGATGATGGTGATGATGGTGATGATGATGATGTTTCTGGTGATGATGGTGGTGATGATGGTGGTGATGTTTCTGGTGATGGTGGTGATGATGATGATGGTGGTGATTATGATGGTGATGATGTTTCTGGTGATGATGGTGGTGATGGTGGTGACGATGATGTTTCTGGTGATGATGATGATGGTGATGGTGGTGATGTTGACGATGGTGGTGATGATGATGGTGGTGATGATGATGATGATGGTGGTGATGATGATGATGATGGTGACGATGATGTTTCTGGTGGTGATGATGATGATGATGGTGGTGATGATGATGGTGACGATGATGTTTCTGGTGATGATGATGATGGTGGTGATGCTGACCGGGTGCCAGGCTGGTCTTGCCGTAGAAGCGGACCGTCCCCGTCTTGCCGGGAGACACGGAGACACGGCAGCCCACACGGAGACACGGAGACACGGCTGAGCTGACGGAGCCCCAGCGTCTCAGGCCTGGGCGAGACACGGAGACACGGAGACAGTCAGGGAGACAGACAGGGAGACAAGGAGACAGACACGGAGACAGACGTGGAGACAGACAGGGAGACAGTCACGGAGACAGACAGGGAGACAGATGCGGAGTGAGTGAGTGGGTGAGTGAGTGGGTGAGCGTGCGGGTGACTGAGTGAGTGAGTGGGTGGGTGAGTGAGTGGGTGAGTGAGTGAGTGGGTGGGTGAGTGAGTGAGTGATTGAGTGAGTGAGTGGGTGAGTGAGTGAGTCAGTGGGTGAGTGAGTGGGTGGGTGAGTGGGTGAGTGAGTGAGTGGGTGAGTGAGTGGGTGAGTGGGTGAGTGAGTGAGTGAGTGGGTGAGTGAGTGGGTGAGTGAGTGAGTGCGTGAGTGAGTGAGTGAGTGGGTGAGTGAGTGGGTGAGTGAGTGAGTGGGTGAGTGAGTGGGTGAGTGAGTGGGTGTCCGGCAAAACAACCCCCTACCTCCTCGCGGTGCCGGACGGGCAACTCTGTCGTGGACAGTGCTGTGGGGGGAGATCCAATTTTGATTGGCTCCTCCCCTCATGGCATATGTGTCCACCACAGGGGCTAAACGGGGGCTCTGGACGGGTGCGAGGGGCTGGTAACCCCTCCACCTTCAATTAATTACCACGAAACCACGAGTTAAACTGAAATATGTAACTAATAAGCTTGTGCCGGAGGCCCCGGGGGGCCAGGCGTCTATGACGTCTCCTGGCCAAACCCCAATTGGCGGAGCCAGGAGATTGAATCTCTACCCTCGGGGCTACTCCAGAAACAACGAAAAGCCACTACGGGTGGCCACGTGGAATGTTCGAACGCTCACTGCGGAGGAGAGGCAGCCACTCCTCTGTCGGGAGCTGGACCGGTACCGCCTGGATCTATGCGGCATTCAGGAGGTCCGGTGGACCGGCTCTGGCTCCTGCCACCATGAGGGGTGGACAGTCCTCTACTCGGGGCAGCAGACTGCCAAACAACAGGGTGTGGCTCTTCTTTTGAAAAAAAGAATGAAGGGGGCGTGGGAGCGTGGCGGTGAGGTGTGGGAAGCTGTAAGCCCCGGGCTACTTTGGGCTCGCCTTCCCATCAACCGGAGGTGAGGAGTGGTGGTCGTGGTTACTTATGCCCCCACCGAAGATGAACATCCGTGGAGGGATGCAGGCAAGGCCGATGAGTCAGATGCCTTCTATGACCTCTTGTCACAGGTGCTGGCTAATGTGGCCCCTCGGGATAGAGTCATCTTGTTGGGTGACTTCAATGCCCGAGTTGGTCATGATGCTGGCACCTGGCCTGGAGTGATTGGAGGGCATGGGCCGGATCAGCTCAATAACAACGGCAGGAGGCTGCTAGATTTTTGTGCAGCTCATGGGCTTATAATTACCAACACGCTGTTCCGGCATCGGCGCATCCACACAACATCATGGATGCATGCCGGGTCCAAGCAAGAACATCTTCTGGACTACATAGTGACGGAACAGCGGATGCGGGCCCATGTCCTTGACACCAGGACCTACCGTGGAGCTGATCTGCCCTCTGAATATCGACTTGTCATCTGTAAGATGCGCCTGCCATTCTTCCACTCCGGTGGTGGGTGTACACCCAGGACCCCATTCCAACCTAAGGTGGCCTGGTCTCGGCTCGCTGATGAAAGTTGCAAGCGAGAATTTCATCATCGCTTGCGGCTGGGGTTGGCATCGTCCCCGACTCTTCCTGATGTCGAGGGTAAATGGGCGAGGTTTAGGACTGTGACTCATGCAGCTGCAATGGCTGCTTTGGGTACGCAGTCCAGACCTCCCCAGAGACCCTGGCTGACAGAGGAGGTGTTCAGGCTGGCTGAGAAAAAGCGACAGGCCCACTGTCATCGGCTACAGAATCCCACGTCAGAGAATGAGGAGGCTTACCGCAGCCTTCGCTCGGAGGTTCGGAGAGCTGTGAGGCGCTGCAAGGATGGGTGGTGGTCGCGGGTTGCTGAGGAGATGGAGTCTGCCTCAGTGGCCCGAGAGCACAAATCTCTATTGAACTCCATCAAAAAAGTAACCTGCAGCACCACACCTATTTACCATCATTAGGGGAAAAACGGTGATCCAATCTCCGACCCCCAGGAACAGATTTGCAGATTTGCTGAGCATTTCTGTGAGGTCCTGGTGGAGGGAAAATCCCTCAGCCAGGAAAACATCATGGCATAAAGTGAGGATGACCCTGCTGAGGCTGCGGTGCCTCAAATATTGGAAGAAGTCACCCCCTGTGAGTGGCTGGCTGAGGTGCCATCTGTTGAGGAAGTACTGAAGGCGATCCGGAGTCTGAGACCAGGAAAGGCACCGGGCAGAGATGATCTCCCAAGCGAAATGCTGAGGGAGGGTGGCGTTTGTGCACAGACTGCCCTATATGACATCATAACAACAGTCTGGACCACTGGACGGGTTCTGGAGGATTGGAAGGATGCCCTGGTGGTCCCCCTTTTTAAGAAGAGGGACCGCACAGACTGTAACAACTACAGGGGCATCTCACTCCTCAGTGTGCCGGGAAAGGTCCTGGCAAGGATTATTCAGCATCGCCTTGCCAGGCACGCTGAGGAGAGGCTTGTGGAGCCCCAATGCGATTTCAGGAAAGGGCGGTCCTGCACAGATGCCATATTTTCTGTCTGTCTGCTACAGCAGAGGTGTAGGGAATTCCAACAAGACCTACATCTCTGCTTTATTGACCTGGTCAAGGCCTATGACACCATCAGTAGACCTGGGCTCTGGGTCGTTCTTCGTGCTTTCGGAGTCCCTGACCCTCTGCTCATGATCATAAAGGACCTTCATGATGGTGAGCGGGCCCGGGTAAAACGACGTGGCCGGGAGTCAGAGCCATTCCCTGTACACCTTGGGGTGCGACAGGGATGTCCTCTGGCTCCCACATTATTTAACATCTATTTCGACCGCGTAGTTTGTGAAGCCTTCAATAGCTGTACCGGGGGAATCTCCATATGGTACAGATACAATGGGAGGCTGATCGATGCCTGGGTGTGGTCAAGGGATGGCTCCCTAATGGTCAACCACGTTATGTATGCTGATGATTTGGTAATGGCTGCTCATTCAGAGGAGGAGTTGGAGGCGCTGCTGCTGAGACTGGAGCGTGCCACTAAGAGATGGGGCCTTACAATCAGCCCCACCAAAACTAAGCACCTGCCTGGGTATTTTGTACCATCGGACACTCCACCCCCACAACTCGCAATCGGTGATGGGGCAGTTGTGGAGAGAGTTGAGAGTTTCCCATACCTGGGCAGTGTGCTTATGACTGGCTCCAGTTTAACAGCAGAGGTCTCACTCCGAATCAGTCGAGCGGCAATATCTTTTCATCGGTTGCATAATGCTGTGTGGAAACTACCTGGTCTGTCGCTCCGCACTAAGCTTCAGGTCTTCTCGGCCACGGTCATCCCCTCCCTTCTCTACGCTTGCGAAACGTGGACCCCGCTAATGGAGCATCTTCGCCGGTTATAAACATTTAGGCTGGCCTGCCTACGATCCATCCTGGGTTTAACCAGACTGGATTGTGTGAGGAGCTCACAAATCCTTGAAATATCTGGGCACGGTCCCATCGGTGAGCTCCTCCGGCAGGCAAGGCTGCGATGGCTGGGTAATGTAGCCCACATGCCCAGCCACCGCATGCCAAAACAGCTTTTGTTCGGCCGGATCGAGAGGGGCTAAACGGGCGCCGGCACGGGCTAGAGAAGAGATGGAGTGATGTGGTACAGGAGGACGTGGAGCTGAGTGGACTTGCCGATGACTGGTACCAGCGGTGTCAAGATCGGCCTCTGTGGAGGAGGCTCGTGAAGGATGCTCGTGAAGGATGCTACTGGGCAGTTGGAGGCAGTCGCCCTCCAACAACAACGGAGGGCGGAGGAGCGACGCTCACAACAGCGAGCGGAGCGCCGGGTGGCTAAAGCACAGCAGGTTGGCACAGTAGGGGGCACAGGTGGTGCATCAGCCAGTCATCTCAGTCAGTCGACCCGTGGCACCTGCTGGGTCTGCCCCGTGACCTCCAGCCAGCGGGCATTCGACACTTCACGTGGCCTCAGGGTGCACATAGCCTGGCACAAGCGTCGTGGTGACGTCACCGCCACTTAGTGGTGAATGGCGGTTGTTGTTGTTGTGTGTCACCGTGAGTGGGCGTGTCTCACCGTGAGTGGGCGTGTCTCACCGTGACGTAGGCGTGTCTCACCGTGAGTGGGCGTGTCTCACCGTGACGTAGGCGTGTCTCACCGTGAGTGGGCGTGTCTCACCATGAGTGGGCGTGTCTCACCGTGACGTGGGCGTGTCTCACCGTGAGTGGGCGTGTCTCACCGTGAGTGGGCGTGTCTCACCGTGAGTGGGCGTGTCTCACCGTGAGTGGGCGTGTCTCACCGTGAGTGGGCGTGTCTCACCGTGAGTGGGCGTGTCTCACCGTGAGTGGGCGTGTCTCACCGTGATGTAGGCGTGTCTCACCATGTGTGGGCGTGTCTCACCATGAGTGGGCGTGTCTCACCGCGAGTGGGCGTTTCTCACCGTGACGTGGGCGTGTCTCACCGCGAGTGGGCGTGTCTCACTGTGAGTGGGCATGTCTCACCATGACGTAGGCGTTCTCGTGCCCGCCCCCTCTTGGAGGGGGGCCGTCCCCCCCCAGCCACCCGTGGCTGCTCCAGGCAGGGGGCGGGGCCGGCCCCTCCCCCATCCCCCGTGCCTCCTCCTCCTCCTCGTGGCCCCGCCCCCACGCCCCCCCCCTCCCCCTCCTCCTCCCCCCCCTCGTCGCTGGGCAGCTTCGAGACGTGGGAGACTGGAACAAACACTCCTGCAGACACACACGGTGAGACACGCCCACTCACGGTGAGACACGCCCACTCGCGGTGAGACACGCCCACTCGCGGTGAGACACGCCCACTCGCGGTGAGACACGCCCACGTCATGGTGAGACACGCCCACTCGCGGTGAGACACGCCCACTCGCGGTGAGACACGCCCACCCACCCACCCAATCACCCACCCGCCCACCCACTCACCCACTCACCAACCTACCCACCCACCAACCCACTCACCCACCCACCAACCCACTAACCCACCCACCAACCCACTAACCCACCCACCAACCCACTAACCCACCCACCAACCCACTCACCCACCCACCAACCCACTCACCCACCCACCCACCCACCAACCCACTCACCCACCCACCCACCAACCCACTCACCCACCCACCAACCCACTCACCCACCCACCAACCCACTCACCCACCCACCAACCCACTCACCCACCCACCCACCCACTCACTCACTCACCCACCAACCCACCCACCCACTCACCAACCTACCCACACACCCACTCACCCACCCACCCACCCACTCACCCACCCACCCACCCAATCAGTCACCCACCCACTGACTCACCCACCCCACCGTGCCCCCCACTAATCCTCACCGTGTTTGGCGGGGCAGGAGAAGTAGTGGTGCCCCCCCACCGTACCCACCCACCATGCCCCCCACTAATCCTCACCGTGTTTGGCGGGGCAGGAGAAGTAGTGGTGCCCCCCCACCGTGCCCCCCACCATGCCCCCCACTAATCCTCACCGTGTTTGGCGGGGCAGGATAAGTAGTGGTGCCCCCCCACCGTGCCCCCCACCATGCCCCCCACTAATCCTCACCGTGTTTGGCGGGGCAGGAGAAGTAGTGGTGCCCGCCCACCGTGCCCCCCACTAATCCTCACCGTGCTTGGCGGGGCAGGAGAAGTAGTGGTGCCCGCCCACCGTGCCCCCCACCATGCCCCCCACCATGCCCCCCACTAATCCTCAACGTGTTTAGCGGGGCAGGAGAAGTAGTGGTGCCCCCCACTATGCCCCCCACTAATCCTCACCGTGCTTGGCGGGGCAGGAGAAGTAGTGGTGCCCCCCCACCATGCCCCCCACCATGCCCCCCACTAATCCTCACCGTGTTTGGCAGGGCAGGAGAAGTAGTGGTGCCCCCCACTATGCCCCCCACTAATCCTCACCGTGTTTGGCGGGGCAGGAGAAGTAGTGGTGCCCCCCACTATGCCCCCCACTATGCCCCCCACTAATCCTCACCGTGCTTGGCGGGGCAGGAGAAGTAGTGGTGCCCCCCCACCATGCCCCCCACTATGCCCCCCACTAATCCTCACCGTGCTTGGCGGGGCAGGAGAAGTAGTGGTGCCCCCCCACCATGCCCCCCACTATGCCCCCCACTAATCCTCACCGTGCTTGGCGGGGCAGGAGAAGTAGTGGTGCCCCCCCACCATGCCCCCCACTATGCCCCCCACTAATCCTCACCGTGTTTGGCGGGGCAGGAGAAGTAGTGGTGCCCCCCACCATGCCCCCCACCAATCCTCACCGTGCTTGGCGGGGCAGGAGAAGTAGTGGTGCCCCCCACCATGCCCCCCACCATGCCCCCCACTAATCCTCACCGTGCTTGGCGGGGCAGGAGAAGTAGTGGTGCCCCCCACCATGCCCCCCACTAATCCTCACCGTGCTTGGCGGGGGCAGGAGAAGTAGTGGTGCCCCCCCACCATGCCCCCCACTATGCCCCCACTAATCCTCACCGTGTTTGGCGGGGCAGGAGAAGTAGTGGTGCCCCCCACCATGCCCCCCACCATGCCCCCCACTAATCCTCACCGTGCTTGGCGGGGCAGGAGAAGTAGTGGTGCCCCCCACCATGCCCCCCACCATGCCCCCCACTAATCCTCACCGTGCTTGGCGGGGCAGGAGAAGTAGTGGTGCCCCCCACCATGCCCCCCACCATGCCCCCCACTAATCCTCACCGTGCTTGGCGGGGCAGGAGAAGTAGTGGTGCCCCCCCACCATGCCCCCCACTATGCCCCCCACTAATCCTCACCGTGTTTGGCGGGGCAGGAGAAGTAGTGGTGCCCCCCACCATGCCCCCCACCATGCCCCCCACTAATCCTCACCGTGCTTGGCGGGGCAGGAGAAGTAGTGGTGCCCCCCACCATGCCCCCCACTAATCCTCACCGTGCTTGGCGGGGCAGGAGAAGTAGTGGTGCCCCCCACCATGCCCCCCACCATGCCCCCCACTATGCCCCCCACTAATCCTCACCGTGCTTGGCGGGGCAGGAGAAGTAGTGGTGCCCCCCACCGTGCCCCCCACCGTGCCCCCCACCATGCCCCCCACCATGCCCCCCACTAATCCTCACCGTGCTTGGCGGGGCAGGAGAAGTAGTGGTGCCCCCCACCATGCCCCCCACTATGCCCCCCACTAATCCTCACCGTGCTTGGCGGGGCAGGAGAAGTAGTGGTGCCCGCCCACCGTGCCCCCCACCGTGCCCCCCACCATGCCCCCCACCATGCCCCCCACTAATCCTCACCGTGCTTGGCGGGGCAGGAGAAGTAGTGGTGCCCCCCCACCATGCCCCCCACTATGCCCCCCACTAATCCTCACCGTGTTTGGCGGGGCAGGAGAAGTAGTGGTGCCCGCCCACCATGCCCCCCACCATGCCCCCCACTAATCCTCACCGTGCTTGGCGGGCAGGAGAAGTAGTGGTGCCCCCCACCATGCCCACCACCATGCCCCCCACTAATCCTCACCGTGCTTGGCGGGGCAGGAGAAGTAGTGGTGCCCCCCACCATGCCCCCCACCATGCCCCCCACTAATCCTCACCGTGCTTGGCGGGGCAGGAGAAGTAGTGGTGCCCCCCCACCATGCCCCCCACTATGCCCCCCACTAATCCTCACCGTGTTTGGCGGGGCAGGAGAAGTAGTGGTGCCCCCCACCATGCCCCCCACCATGCCCCCCACTAATCCTCACCGTGCTTGGCGGGGCAGGAGAAGTAGTGGTGCCCCCCACCATGCCCCCCACGAATCCTCACCGTGCTTGGCGGGGCAGGAGAAGTAGTGGTGCCCCCCACCATGCCCCCCACCATGCCCCCCACTATGCCCCCCACTAATCCTCACCGTGCTTGGCGGGGCAGGAGAAGTAGTGGTGCCCCCCACCGTGCCCCCCACCGTGCCCCCCACCATGCCCCCCACCATGCCCCCCACTAATCCTCACCGTGCTTGGCGGGGCAGGAGAAGTAGTGGTGCCCCCCACCATGCCCCCCACTATGCCCCCCACTAATCCTCACCATGCTTGGCGGGGCAGGAGAAGTAGTGGTGCCCGCCCACCGTGCCCCCCACCGTGCCCCCCACCATGCCCCCCACCATGCCCCCCACTAATCCTCACCGTGCTTGGCGGGGCAGGAGAAGTAGTGGTGCCCCCCCACCGTGCCCCCCACTATGCCCCCCACTAATCCTCACCGTGCTTGGCGGGGCAGGAGAAGTAGTGGTGCCCCCCCACCATGCCCCCCACCATGCCCCCCACTATGCCCCCCACTAATCCTCACCGTGCTTGGCGGGGCAGGAGAAGTAGTGGTGCCCCCCCACCATGCCCCCCACCATGCCCCCCACCATGCCCCCCACTAATCCTCACCGTGCTTGGCGGGGCAGGAGAAGTAGTGGTGCCCCCCCACCATGCCCCCCACCATGCCCCCCACTAATCCTCACCGTGCTTGGCGGGGCAGGAGAAGTAGTGGTGCCCGCCCACCATGCCCCCCACCATGCCCCCCACTAATCCTCACCGTGCTTGGCGGGGCAGGAGAAGTAGTGGTGCCCGCCCACCATGCCCCCCACCATGCCCCCCACTAATCCTCACCGTGCTTGGCGGGGCAGGAGAAGTAGTGGTGCCCCCCCACCATGCCCCCCACCATGCCCCCCACCATGCCCCCCACTAATCCTCACCGTGCTTGGCGGGGCAGGAGAAGTAGTGGTGCCCGCCCACCATGCCCCCCACCATGCCCCCCACTAATCCTCACCGTGCTTGGCGGGGCAGGAGAAGTAGTGGTGCCGCCCACCATGCCCCCCACCATGCCCCCCACTAATCCTCACCGTGCTTGGCGGGGCAGGAGAAGTAGTGGTGCCCGCCCACCATGCCCCCCACCATGCCCCCCACTAATCCTCACCGTGCTTGGCGGGGCAGGAGAAGTAGTGGTGCCCGCCCACCATGCCCCCCACCATGCCCCCCACTAATCCTCACCGTGCTTGGCGGGGCAGGAGAAGTAGTGGTGCCCGCCCACCATGCCCCCCACCATGCCCCCCACTAATCCTCACCGTGCTTGGCGGGGCAGGAGAAGTAGTGGTGCCCGCCCACCATGCCCCCCACCATGCCCCCCACTAATCCTCACCGTGCTTGGCGGGGCAGGAGAAGTAGTGGTGCCCGCCCACCATGCCCCCCACCATGCCCCCCACTAATCCTCACCGTGCTTGGCGGGGCAGGAGAAGTAGTGGTGCCCGCCCACCATGCCCCCCACCATGCCCCCCACTAATCCTCACCGTGCTTGGCGGGGCAGGAGAAGTAGTGGTGCCCGCCCACCATGCCCCCCACCATGCCCCCCACTAATCCTCACCGTGCTTGGCGGGGCAGGAGAAGTAGTGGTGCCCGCCCACCATGCCCCCCACCATGCCCCCCACTAATCCTCACCGTGCTTGGCGGGGCAGGAGAAGTAGTGGTGCCCGCCCACCATGCCCCCCACCATGCCCCCCACTAATCCTCACCGTGCTTGGCGGGGCAGGAGAAGTAGTGGTGCCCGCCCACCATGCCCCCCACCATGCCCCCCACTAATCCTCACCGTGCTTGGCGGGGCAGGAGAAGTAGTGGTGCCCGCCCACCATGCCCCCCACCATGCCCCCCACTAATCCTCACCGTGCTTGGCGGGGCAGGAGAAGTAGTGGTGCCCGCCCACCATGCCCCCCACCATGCCCCCCACTAATCCTCACCGTGCTTGGCGGGGCAGGAGAAGTAGTGGTGCCCGCCCACCATGCCCCCACCATGCCCCCCACTAATCCTCACCGTGCTTGGCGGGGCAGGAGAAGTAGTGGTGCCCGCCCACCATGCCCCCCACCATGCCCCCCACTAATCCTCACCGTGCTTGGCGGGGCAGGAGAAGTAGTGGTGCCCGCCCACCATGCCCCCCACCATGCCCCCCACTAATCCTCACCGTGCTTGGCGGGGCAGGAGAAGTAGTGGTGCCCGCCCACCATGCCCCCCACCATGCCCCCCACTAATCCTCACCGTGCTTGGCGGGGCAGGAGAAGTAGTGGTGCCCGCCCACCATGCCCCCCACCATGCCCCCCACTAATCCTCACCGTGCTTGGCGGGGCAGGAGAAGTAGTGGTGCCCGCCCACCATGCCCCCCACCATGCCCCCCACTAATCCTCACCGTGCTTGGCGGGGCAGGAGAAGTAGTGGTGCCCGCCCACCATGCCCCCACCATGCCCCCACCATGCCCCCCACTAATCCTCACCGTGCTTGGCGGGGCAGGAGAAGTAGTGGTGCCCGCCCACCATGCCCCCCACCATGCCCCCCACTAATCCTCACCGTGCTTGGCGGGGCAGGAGAAGTAGTGGTGCCCGCCCACCATGCCCCCCCACCATGCCCCCCACTAATCCTCACGGTGCTTGGCGGGGCAGGAGAAGTAGTGGTGCCCGCCCACCATGCCCCCCACCATGCCCCCCACTAATCCTCACCGTGCTTGGCGGGGCAGGAGAAGTAGTGGTGCCCGCCCACCATGCCCCCCACCATGCCCCCCACTAATCCTCACCGTGCTTGGCGGGGCAGGAGAAGTAGTGGTGCCCGCCCACCATGCCCCCCACCATGCCCCCCACTAATCCTCACCGTGCTTGGCGGGGCAGGAGAAGTAGTGGTGCCCGCCCACCATGCCCCCCACCATGCCCCCACTAATCCTCACCGTGCTTGGCGGGGCAGGAGAAGTAGTGGTGCCCGCCCACCATGCCCCCCACCATGCCCCCCACTAATCCTCACCGTGCTTGGCGGGGCAGGAGAAGTAGTGGTGCCCGCCCACCATGCCCCCCACCATGCCCCCCACTAATCCTCACCGTGCTTGGCGGGGCAGGAGAAGTAGTGGTGCCCGCCCACCATGCCCCCCACCATGCCCCCCACTAATCCTCACCGTGCTTGGCGGGGCAGGAGAAGTAGTGGTGCCCGCCCACCGTGCCCCCCACCATGCCCCCCACTAATCCTCACCGTGCTTGGCGGGGCAGGAGAAGTAGTGGTGCCCGCCCACCATGCCCCCCACCATGCCCCCCACTAATCCTCACCGTGCTTGGCGGGGCAGGAGAAGTAGTGGTGCCCCCCACCATGCCCCCCACCATGCCCCCCACTAATCCTCACCGTGCTTGGCGGGGCAGGAGAAGTAGTGGTGCCCGCCCACTGTGCCCCCCACCGTGCCCCCCACCAATCCTCACCGTGCTTGGCGGGGCAGGAGAAGTAGTGGTGCCCGCCCACTGTGCCCCCCACCGTGCCCCCCACCAATCCTCACCGTGCTTGGCGGGGCAGGAGAAGTAGTGGTGCCCCCCCACCGTTCCGTTATTCTTCCCCAGCGGCTGGAGGAGCTCTACCCCCACCCACTGGCCAGAGGCAAACTCAGCGGGGCCCAGGAAGCGAAGCCATCCCTGCTGCACAACCACAACAACAACCACAACAACAACCACAACAACAACAACCACAACAACAACAACAACCACAACCACAACAACAACAACCACAACAATCACAACAACCACAACAACAACAATCACAACAACAACCATTACCACAACAACAACAACAACCACAACAACAACAACAACCACAACCACAACAACAACAACAACCACGTTAACAATCACAACCACAACAACCACAACAACCACCACCACCACGTTAACAACCACAACCACAACAACAACAACCACAACCACAACAACCACAACAACCACAACAACAACCACAACAACCACAACAACAACCACGTTAACAATCACAACATCAACAACCACAACAACAACATCAACAACAACAACCACAACAACAACAACCACAACAACCACAACAACAACAACCACAACCACGTTAACAATCACAACAACAACAACCACAACAACAACCACAACCACAACAACAACCACAACAACAACAACCACAACAACAACCACAACAACAACCACAACAACAACAACAACCACAACAACAACCACAACAACAACAACCACAACCACAACAACAACCACAACCACGTTAACAATCACAACAACAACAACAACCACAACAACAACCACAACCACAACAACAACAACCACAACAACAACCACAACAACAACAACCACAACAACAACAACAACAACAACCACAACAACAACCACAACCACAACAACAACCACAACAACAACCACAACAAATACCACAACAACAACCACAACAACAGCCACAACAACAACAACCACAACAACAACCACAACAACAACCACGTTAACAACCACAACAACAACCACAACAACAACAACAACCACGTTAACAACCACAACAACAACAACAACAACCACGTTAACAACCACAACAACCACAACCACGTTAACAATCACAACAACAACAACAACCACAACAACAACCACAACCACAACAACAACAACAACCACAACAACAACCACAACAACAACCACAACAACAACAACCACAACAACAACCACAACAACAACCACAACCACAACAACAACCACAACAACAACCACAACAAATACCACAACAACAACAACAACCACAACAACAGCCACAACAACAACCACAACAACAACCACAACAACAACCACGTTAACAACCACAACAACAACCACAACAACAACAACAACCACGTTAACAACCACAACAACAACCACAACCACGTTAACCAACACAACAACAACAACCACGTTAACCAACACAACAACAACAACCACGTTAACAACCACAACAACAACAACAACCACGTTAACAACCACAACAACCACAACCACGTTAACCAACACAACAACAACAACAACCACAACAACAACCACAACAACAACCACAACAACAACCACAACAACAACCACAACAACAACAACAACAACAACAACCACAACAACAACCACAACAACAACCACAACCACAACAACAACCACAACAACAACCACAACAAATACCACAACAACAACAACAACCACAACAACAGCCACAACAACAACAACCACAACAACAACCACAACAACAACCACGTTAACAACCACAACAACAACCACAACAACAACAACAACCACGTTAACAACCACAACAACAACCACAACCACGTTAACAACCACAACAACCACAACCACGTTAACAACCACAACAACCACAACCACGTTAACAACCACCACTCACCCCATTCTCCCTACACCACTCACCACCACCACTCACCCCCACCACTCACCACACCACTCACCACCACCACTCATCACCACTCACCCCCCTCTCCCCACACCACTCACCACCACCACCACTCACCACCACCACTCACCCCCACTCACCCCCCTCTCCCCACACCACTCACCCCCACCACCACTCACCACACCACTCACCCCACCACTCACCACCACCACCACTCACCACCACCACTCACCCCACCACTCACCATCACTCACCACACCACTCACCCCACCACTCACCCCCCTCTCCCCACACCACTCACCACCACACCACTCACCACCACTCACCACCACCACTCACCACCACCACTCACCACCACCACCACTCATCACCACTCACCCCCCTCTCCCCACACCATTCACCCCACACCACTCACCACCACTCACCCCCACTCACCCCCCTCTCCCCACACCACTCATCCAACCACTCACCCCACCACTCACCACCACCACCACTCACCACCTCTCCTCCCCCCCCCACCACCACCACCACCCCCCCCACCTCTCCCCCCACCACCCACCCACACCTCACCAGTCCACCGGGCAGCGCCACCATCTGGCCCAGCTGCAGCCCGAGCGTGCCCATGAGTGCCGAGCCCAGCACATTGTCGTGGTTGTGCAGGGTGGCACGGGGCAGCGGGCACACCAGCGGCATGGCCTCCAGCAGCAGACGGCGGAGGGCTCCCGACGCCGCCGTGCCCTCCGACAGGTCCAGCGGCAGCTCCGAGGGCGGCGGCACCGCCTCAGCCGCCACCTGGCCACGGGAATTCTGGGGGAATGGAGGGTGAGGGAGGAGGGCAGAGTTCAGAGGTTATTCGGAAGGGTAGGGGGCGGCGGGTCAAAGGTTATTCGGAAGGGTAGGGGGGGGGGTGGCGGCACCGCCTCAGCCGCCACCTGGCCACGGGAATTCTGGGGAAATGGAGGGTGAGGGAGGTGAGGGAGGGCAGGTTCAGAGGTTATTCGGAAGGGTAGAGGGCGGCGGCACCGCCTCAGCCGCCACCTGGCCACGGGAATTCTGGGAGGTGGTGAGGGAGGGAGGGTGAGGGAGGAGGGCAGAGTTCAGAGGTTATTCGGAAGGGTAGGGGGCGGCGGGTCAAAGGTTATTCGGAAGGGTAGGGGGCGGCAGGTCAAAGGTTATTCGGAAGGGTAGGGGGGGGTGGCGGCACCGCCTCAGCCGCCACCTGGCCACGGGAATTCTGGGAGGTGGTGAGGGAGGGCAGGTTCAGAGGTTATTCGGAAGGGGTGGCGGCGGGTCAAAGGTTATTCGGAATGGGGGGGGGCGAAGGTTATTCGGAAGAGGGCGGAAGGTCAAAGGTTATTCGGAAGGGGGGCAGGTCGAAGGTTATTCGGAAGGGGGGGGCCGCAGGTAAAAGATTGTTCGGAAGAGGGCGGCAGGTCAAAGGTTATTCGGAAGGGTGGGGGGGCGGCACCGCCTCAGCCGCCACCTGGCCACAGGAATTCTGGGAGGTGAGGGAGGTGAGGGAGGGCAGGTTCAGAGGTTATTCGGAAGGGGGCGGCGGGTCGAAGGTTATTCGGAATGGGGGGGGGGGGGGTCAAAGGTTATTCGGAAGGGGGCGGCAGGTCGAAAGTTATTCGGAAGGGGGGGGTGGGTCAAAGATTATTCGGAAGGGGAGGGGGGGGGTCGAAGGTTATTCGGAAGGGGGGGTCGAAGGTTATTCAGAAGGGGGCGGCAGGTCAAAGGTTATTCAGAAGGGGGCCATCACCACAATGATAGCAGCCCAAGCCCACGTGGCTGATATCACCATCATCATCATCACGCGGACATTTACAGCAGTCCAGTTGATTCTACACTCATTGGAACTCCTAGAGACACACAGAGACCCACAGAGACCCACAGAGACTCACAGAGACCCACAGAGACCCACAGGGATTCATAGAGACCCACAGAGACCCACAGAGACCCACAGAGACCCACAGAGACCCACAGGGACTCATAGAGACCCACAGAGACCCACAGAGACCCACAGAGACCCACAGAGACCCACAGGGACTCATAGAGACCCACAGAGACCCACAGAGACCCACAGAGACCCACAGAGACCCACAGAGACCCACAGGGACTCATAGAGACCCACAGAGACCCACAGGGACTCATAGAGACTCATAGAGACCCACAGAGACCCACAGAGACCCACAGAGACCCACAGAGACTCATAGAGACCCACAGAGACCCACAGAGACTCATACTCACGTAGTACCTACAGAGACCCACAAAGACCCACAGAGACATACAGAGACCCACAGAGACCCACAGAGAGACCCACAGAGAGACCCACAGAGAGACCCACAGAGACCCACAGAGACTCACAGAGACACACAGAGACTCATACTCATGTAGTACCTACACAGAACCATCTTCATAGAGACCCACAGAGACCCACAGAGACTCACACTCACGTAGTACCTACAGAGATCCATCTTCATATAGACACACAGAGAGACCCACAGAGACCCACAGAGACCCACAGAGACACCCACAGAGACCCATAGAGACCCACAGAGACTCACACTCACGTAGTACCTACAGAGACCCACAGAGACCGACAGAGACTCGTACTGACGTAGTACCTACAGAGAACCATCTTCATACAGACACACAGAGACCCACAGAGACTCACACTCACGTAGTACCTACAGAGAACCATCTTCATACAGACCCACAGAGACCCACAGAGACTCACAATCAAGTAGTACCTACAGAGACCCACAGAGAGACACACAGAGACCCACAGAGACACACAGAGACCCACAGAGACCCATACTCACGTAGCACCTACAGAGAACCGTCTTCATTTAGACACACAGAGACCCACAGAGACTCACACTCACGTAGTACCTACAGAGAAACATCTTCATACAGACACACAGAGACCCACAGAGACTCATACTCACGTAGTACCTACAGAGACCCACAGAGAGACCCACAGAAACCCACAGAGACACACAGAGACACACAGAGACACAAAGAGACCCACAGAGACTCACACTCACATAGTACCTACAGAGAACCATCTTCATATAGACCCACAGAGACCCACAGAGAGACTCACAGAGACCCACAGAGACCCACAGAGACCCACAGAGACTCACACTCACGTAGTACCTACAGAGAAACATCTTCATATAGACCCACAGAGACCCACAGAGACCCACAGAGACTCACACTCAGATGGTACCGACAGAGAACCATCTTCATACAGACCCACAGAAACCCACAGAGACTCACACTCACGTAGTACCTACAGAGACCCACAGAGAGACCCACAGAGACCCACAGAGACACACAGAGACACACAGAGACCCAGAGAGACTCACACTCACGTAGTACCTACAGAGAACCATCTTCATGTAGACACAGAGACCCACAGAGACTCAGACTCACGTAGTACCAACACAGAACCATCTTAATATAGACACACAGAGACCCACAGAGACCCACAGAGACCCACAGAGACTCACACTCACGTAGTACCTACAGAGAACCATCTTCATACAGACACACAGAGACCCACAGAGACTCACACTCACGTAGTACCTACAGAGACCCACAGAGACTCACAGAGACCCTCAGAGACCCACAGAGACCCACAGAGACTCACACTCACGTAGTACTCACAGAGAACCATGTTCATATAGACACACAGAGACCCACAGAGACTCACAGAGACACACAGAGACCCAATATCATCATCGTCATCATCATCGAACCCAAGAACTCCCGCGCACCAGGCGAGGTAGTCAACATCACATGAGGGTCTGGGATCGAACCCACGACCTCCTGTGTACCACGCGAGGTAGTCAACATCTCACAGGGTACGTGATGGAACCCAGGACCTCCTGTGTACCGGGAGAGGTAGTCAACATCTCACCAGGGTCCGTGATGGAACCCAGGACCTCCTGTGTACCGCGAGAGGTAGTCAACATCTCACAGGGTCTGGGATGTAACCCACGACCTCCTGTGTACCAGGCGAGGTAGTCAACATCTCATGAGGGTCTGGGATCGAACCCACGACCTCCTGTGTACCAGGCGAGGTAGTCAACATCTCATCAGGGTCTGGGATCGAACCCACGACCTCCTGTGTATCAGGCGAGGTAGTCAACATCTCATCAGGGTCTGGGATCGAACCCACGACCTCCTGTGTACCAAGCGAGGTAGTCAACATCTCACAGTGTCCGGGATGGAACCCACGACCTCCTGTGTACCAGGCGAGGTAGTCAACATCTCACAGGGTCTGGGATAGAACCCAGGACCTCCTGTGTACCGGGAGAGGTAGTCAACATCTCACAGGGTCTGGAATGGAACCCAGGACCTCCTGTGTACTAGGCGAGGTATTCAACATCTCATCATGATCTGGGATGGAACCCACGACCTCCTGTGTACCGGGAGAGGTAGTCAACATCTCACAGGGTCAGAGATAGAACCCACAACCTCCTGTGTACCGGACGAGGTAGTCAACATCTCACAGGGTCCGTGATGGAACCGACGACCTCCTGTGTACCGGGAGAGGTAGTCAACATCTCACAGGGTCTGGGATTGAACCCAAGACCTCCTGTGTACCGGGAGAGGTAGTCAACATCTCACAGGGTCCGGGATGGAACCCACGACCTCCTGTGTACCAGGCGAGGTAGTCAACATCTCACAGGGTCCGTGATAGAACCCACGACCTCCTGTGTACCGGGAGAGGTAGTCAACATCTCACAGGGTCCGTGATGGAACCCAGGACCTCCTGTGTACCAGGCGAGGTAGTCAACATCTCACAGGGTCCGTGATGGAACCCACGACCTCCTGTGTACCGGGAGAGGTAGTCAACATCTCATCAGGGTCTGGGATGGAACCCACGACCTCCTGTGTACCGAGCGAGGTAGTTAACATCTCACAGGGTACGTGATGGAATCCACGACTTCCTGTGTACCGGGAGAGGTAGTTAACATCTCACAGGGTCCGTGATGGAACCCACGACCTCCTGTGTACCAGGCGAGGTAGTTAACATCTCATCAGGGTCTGGGTCGAGCCCATGACCTCCTGTGTACCGGGCGAGGTAGTCAACATCTCACAGGGTCTGGGATACAACCCAGGACCTCCTGTGTACCGGGCGAGGTAGTCAACATCTCACAGTGTCTGGGATGGAACCCAGGACCTCCTGTGTACCGGGCGAGGTAGTCAACATCTCACAGGGTCCGTGATAGAACCCACGACCTCCTGTGTACCGGGAGAGGTAGTCAACATCTCCGTGGCCACTGACCCTGCACGAGGGGTCTGCTCCGTGCTCCAACAGCGATTTGACGGCCGACACGCAGAGATTGGAGGCCGCGACGTGGAGAGCCGTGCCTCCATCCACGTCCACACACGGCGCGTTCAAATCTAGAGACACACGGAGAGAGTGGTGAGTGGGTGGGTGAGTGAGTGGGTGAGTGAGTGAGTGGGTGAGTGAGTGAGTGGGTGGGTGAGTGGGTGAGTGAGTGAGTGGGAGAGTGGGTGAGTGAGTGGGTGAGTCAGTGGGTGGGTGGGTGGGTGAGTGGGTGGGTGAGTGAGTGAGTGGGAGAGTGGGTGAGTGAGTGGGTGGGTGAGTGGGTGAGTGAGTGAGTGGGTGTGTGAGTGGGTGAGTGGGTGAGTGAGTGAGTGGGTGAGTGAGTGAGTGAGTGACTGGATGGAGAGCCGTGCCTCCATCCACGTCCACACACGGCGCGTTCAGATCTAGAGACACACGGAGAGAGAGTGGTGAGTGGTGAGTGGGTGAGTGGGTGGGTGAGTGGGTGAGTGGGTGAGTGAGTGGGTGGGTGAGTGGGTGAGTGAGTGGGTGAGTGGGTGAGTGAGTGGGTGGGTGAGTGGGTGAGTGAGTGGGTGAGTGGGTGAGTGAGTGGGTGGGTGAGTGGGTGAGTGAGTGGGTGAGTGGGTGGGTGAGTGACTGGATGAGTGAGTGGGTGGGTGAGTGGGTGGGTGAATGGGTGAGTGGGTGAGTGAGTGGGTGGGTGAGTGAGTGGGTGAGTGACTGAGTGAGTGACTGAGTGACTGAGTAACTGAGTGAGTGAGTGAGTAACTGAGTTAGTGGGTGACTGAGTGAGTGGGTGAGTGAGTGGGTGGGTGGGTGAGTGGGTGAGTGGGTGAGTGAGTGAGTGAGTGGGTGGGTGAGTGAGTGGGTGAGTGGGTGAGTGAGTGGGTGGGTGAGTGAGTGAGTGAGTGGGTGAGTGGGTGAGTGAGTGAGTGAGTGGGTGAGTGACTGAGTGAGTGAGTGAGCGAGTGACTGGGTGGGTGAGTGAGTTGGTGAGTGGGTGAGTAAGTGAGTGAGAGAATGAGTGGGTGGGTGAGTGAGTGGGTGAGTGAGTGGGTGAGTGAGTGGGTGAGTGAGTGAGTGGGTGAGTGAGTGGGTGAGTGGGTGAGTGGGTGGGTGAGTGAGTGAGTGGGTGAGTGGGTGAGTGAGTGAGTGGGTGAGTTGGTGAGTGTGTGGGTGAGTGAGTGAGAGAGTGGTGAGTGGGTGAGTGGGTGAGTGAGTGAGTGAGTGGGTGGATGTGTGAGTGGGTGAGTGGGTGGGTGGGTGGGTGTGTGAGTGGGTGAGTGAGTGGGTGAGTGAGTGAGTGGGTGAGTGAGTGAGTGATTGAGTGGGTGAGTGAGTGGGTGGGTGAGTGGGTGAGTGGGTGAGTGAGTGGGTGAGTGGGTGTGTGAGTGGGTGAGTGAGTGAGTGGGTGAGTGAGTGGGTGAGTGAGTGGGTGGGTGAGTGGGTAAGTGGGTGGGTGGGTGAGTGAGTGTGTGAGTGAGTGAGTGAGCGGGTGAGTGAGTGAGCGAGTGAGTGACTGAGTGAGTGAGTGACTGAGTGACTGAGTGAGCGAGTGAGTAACTGAGCGAGTGACTGAGTGACTGAGCGATTGAGTGAGTGACTGAGTGAGTGAGTGACTGAGCGCGTGACTGAGTGAGTGAGTGGGTGAGTGAGTGAGTGAGCGAGTGAGTGAGCGGGTGACTGAGTGAGTGACTGAGTGAGTGGGTGAGTGAGCGAGTGACTGAGTGACTGAGTGAGCGAGTGAGTAACTGAGCGAGTGACTGAGTGACTGAGTGACTGAGCGAGTGACTGACTGACTGAGTGACTGAGTGAGCGAGTGATTGAGCAGGTGAGTGAGTGATGACTGAGTGACTGACTAAGTAACTGACTGAGTGATTGACTGAGTGAGTGACTGAGTGAGTGACTGAGTAAGCGTGTGACTGAGTGAGCGTGTGACTGAGTGAGCGTGTAACTGAGTGACTGAGTGAGTGCCTGACTGAGTGAATGAGTGACTGGGCGAGTGACTGAGTGAGTGAGCGAGTGACTGAGCGAGTGAGCGAGTGAGTGGCTGGTAGACTGAGTGAGTGACTGAGTGAGTGACTGACTGAGTGACTGAGTGACTGAGTGAACGAGTGAGTGGCTGAGTGACTGAGTGAGTGACTGAGTGAGTGACTGACTGAGTGACTGAGTGAGTGACTGAGTGACTGAGTGAGTGACTGACTGAGTGACTGAGTGAGTGACTGAGTGAGCGTGTGACTGAGTGAGCGTGTGTCTGAACGAGTGACTGAGTGGCTGAGTGTCTGAGTGACTGAACGAGTGACTGACTGACTGAGTGAGTGAGTGACTGAGTGACTGAGTGAGTGACTGAGCGAGTGAGTTCGTGAGTGAGTGACTGAGTGAGCGAGTTAGTGAGCGAGTGATTGATTGAGTGAGTTAGTGAGTGAGTGATTGATTGAGTGACTGAGTGAGTTAGTGACTGAGTGGCTGAGTGACTGACTGACTGACTGAGTGACTGAGTGAGTGACTGACTGAGTGACTGAGTGAGTGACTGACTGAGTGACTGAGTGAGTGACTGACTGACTGAGTGAGCGAGCGAGTGAGTTAGCAATTGAGTGATTCAGTGACTGACTGACTGAGTGACTGACTGACTGAGTGACTGAGCTGGTACCTGGGGGGTTGGCGCTACGTGCCAGCACCCTCACCAGCACAGGGCTGTCAAAGTAAGCGGCGTAGTGGAGGGCGTTCATGTCCGTCTAGCAGGTGACTGAGTGGCTGAGTGAGTGACTGAGTGAGTGGCTGAGTGAGTGATTGAGTGGCTGAGTGACTGAGTGGCTGAGTGAGTGGCTGAGTGAGTGGCTGAGTGACTGAGTGAGTGAGTTAGTGAGTGAGTGATTGAGTGAGTTAGTGAGTGAGTGGCTGATTGTCTGAGTGACTGACTGAGTGACTGAGTGACTGAGTGAGTGAGTGAGCGTGTGACTGAGTGAGTGAGTGAGTGGCTGAGTGAGTGAGTGAGTGACTGAGTGAGTGACTGAGTGACTGAGTGACTGACTGACTGACTGAGTGACTGACTGAGTGACTGACTGACTGACTGAGTGACTGAGTGACTGGCTGACTGACTGACTGACTGAGTGACTGAGTGTCTGAGTGAGTTAGTGAGTGAGTGAGTGACTGATTGTCTGAGTGACTGACTGAGTGACTGACTGAGTGACTGACTGACTGACTGAGTGACTGACTGAGCTGGTACCTGGGGGGTTGGCGCTACGTGCCAGCACCCTCACCAGCACAGGGCTGTCAAAGTAAGCGGCGTGGTGGAGGGCGTTCATGTCCGTCTAGCAGGTGACTGAGTGACTGAGTGAGTGAACGAGTGAGTGAGTGAGTGACTGAGTGACTGAGTGAGCGAGCGAGTGAGTGAGTGAGTGACTGAGTGAGTGGCTGAGTGAGTGGCTGAGTGAGTGAGTGACTGAGTGAGTGAGTGATTGATTGAGTGACTGAGTGACTGAGTGAGTGAGTTAGTGAGTGAGTGAGTGATTGATTGAGTGAGTTAGTGAGTGAGTGAGTGGCTGATTGTCTGAGTGACTGAGTGAGCGAGTGGCTGACTGACTGACCGAGTGATTGACTGAGTGACTGAGTGACTGACTGAGTGACTGAGTGACTGACTGAGTGACTGACTGAGTGACTGACTGAGTGACTGACTGACTGACTGAGCTGGTACCTGGGGGGTTGGCGCTACGTGCCAGCACCCTCACCAGCACAGGGCTGTCAAAGTAAGCGGCGTGGTGGAGGGCGTTCATGTCCGTCCAGCAGGTGACTGAGTGGCTGAGTGGGTGAGTGAGTGGGTGAGTGAGTGGCTGAGTGAGTGGCTGAGTGAGTGATTGAGTGGCTGAGTGAGTGTCTGAGTGAGTGAGTGAGTGGCTGAGTGACTGAGCGAGTGGCTGAGTGAGTGAGTGGCTGAGTGAGTGGCTGAGTGACTGAGTGAGTGAGTGGCTGAGTGGCTGAGTGAGTGGCTGAGTGGCTGAGTGACTGAGCGAGTGGCTGAGTGACTGAGTGAGTAAGTGAGTGAGTGAGTGATTGATTGAGTGACTGAGTGACTGAATGAGTGAGTTAGTGAGTGAGTGATTGATTGAGTGACTGAGTGACTGAGTGAGTGGCTGAGTGACTGATTGTCTGAGTGACTGACTGAGTGACTGAGTGACTGACTGAGCTGGTACCTGGGGGGTTGGCGCTACGTGCCAGCACCCTCACCAGCACAGGGCTGTCAAAGTAAGCGGCGTAGTGGAGGGCGTTCATGTCCGTCCAGCGAGTGACTGAGTGAGTGAGTGAGTGACTGAGTGGCTGAGTGATTGATTGAGTGACTGAGTGACTGACTGAGTGACTGACTGAGTGACTGACTGACTGACTGAGTGACTGAGTGTCTGAGTGAGTTAGTGAGTGAGTGAGTGACTGATTGTCTGAGTGACTGACTGAGTGAGTGACTGACTGAGTGACTGACTGAGTGACTGACTGAGTGACTGAGCAGGTACCTGGGGGGTTGGCGCTACGTGCCAGCACCCTCACCAGCACAGGGCTGTCAAAGTAAGCGGCGTAGTGGAGGGCGTTCATGTCCGTCCAGCGGCAGCGGACTGATGGGTCAGCGCCGAGCGAGAGGAGACGCTGGGCCAGGCGCCCTGCAGCCTCGGGGCAGCCTAACGGGCAGGAGGGGACGAGACCCAGGCCGAAGCCGCGTCACCATCAGCGGCAACGTCACCCGGACCCTCGGGAGATGTTGACTACCTGGCCTGGTACGCGGGAGGTCGTGGGTTAGATCCCGGACCCTCGTGAGATGTTGACTACCTCGCCTGGTATGCAGGAGGTCGTGGGTTCCATCCCAGACCCTGTGAGATGTTGACTACCTCGCCTGGTTCACAGGAGGTCGTGGGTTCGATCCCAGACCCTCGTGAGATGTTGACTACCTCGCCTGGTACGCGGGAGGTCGTGGGTTAGATCCCGGACCCTGAAGAGATGTTGACTACCTCGCCTGGTACACAGGAGGTCGTGGGTTCAATCCCAGACACTGTGAGATGTTGACTACCTCGCCTGGTACGCAGGAGGCCCTGGGTTCGATCCCAGACACTGTGAGATGTTGACTACCTCGCCTGGTACACAGGAGGTCGTGGGTTCCATCCCAGACCCTGATGAGATGTTCACTACCTCGCCTGGTACGCAGGAGTATGGGTCTCTGTGGGTCCCTATGGGTCTCTGTGGGTCTCTATGAGTATGGGTCTCTGTGGGTCTCTGTGGGTCTCTATGGGTCTCTGTGGGTCTCTGTGGGTCTCTGTGGGTCTCTGTGTGTCTTTGTGGGTCTCTATGGGTCTCTGTGTGTCTCTGTGTGTCTCTGTGTGGGTCTCTATGGATCTCTGTGTGTCTCTGTGGGTCTCTGTGTGTCTCTGTGTGTCTCTGTGGGTCTCTGTTTGTCTCTGTGGGTCTCTGTTTGTCTCTGTGGGTCTCTGTTTGTCTCTGTGTGTCTTTGTGGGTCTCTATGGGTCTCTGTGTGTCTCTGTGTGTCTCTGTGTGGGTCTCTATGGATCTCTGTGTGTCTCTGTGGGTCTCTGTGTGTCTCTGTGTGTCTCTGTGGGTCTCTGTCTCTGTGGGTCTCTGTTTGTCTCTGTGTGTCTCTGTGGGTCTCTGTGTGTCTCTGTGTGTCTCTGTGGGTCTCCCTGTGGGTCTCTATGTGTGTCTATGGGTCTCTGTGTGGGTCTCTGTGGGTCTCTGTTTGTCTCTGTGGGTCTCTGTTTGTCTCTGTGTGTCTCTGTGTGTCTCTGTGTGGGTCTCTATGTGTGTCTATGGGTCTCTGTGTGTCTCTGTGTGAGTCTCTATGTGTGTCTATGGGTCTCTGTGTGTCTATATTAGTCTGTAATAGCGGAGGGAAGAGACTCACCAACTCCCTGTGGGTCTCTATGTGTGTCTATGGGTCTCTGTGGGTCTCTGTGGGTCCCTGTGGGTGTCTATGGGTCTCTGTGTGGGTCTCTGTGGGTCCCTGTGGGTGTCTATGGGTCTCTCTGTGGGTCTCTGTGTGTCTATGGGTCTCTGTGTGTCTATATTAGTCTGTAATCGCGGAGGGAAGAGACTCACCAACTCCCTGTGGGTCTCTATGTGTGTCAATGGGTCTCTGTGGGTCCCTGTGGGTGTCTATGGGTCTCTGTGTGGGTCTCTATGTGTGTCTATGGGTCTCTGTGGGTCTATATTAGTCTGTAATAGCGGAGGGAAGAGACTCACCAACTCCCTGTGGGTCTCTATGTGTGTCTATGGGTCTCTGTGTGTCTCTGTGGGTCTCTATGTGTGTCTATGGGTCTCTGTGTGGGTCTCTGTGGGTCCCTGTGGGTGTCTATGGGTCTCTGTGTGGGTCTCTGTGGGTCCCTGTGGGTGTCTATGGGTCTCTGTGTGGGTCTCTATGTGTGTCTATGGGTCTCTGTGTGTCTCTGTGTGTCTCTGTGGCTCTCTCTGTGTGTCTCTGTGTGTCTCTGTGTGTCTCTCTATGTGTCTATGGGTCTCTGTGGGTCTCTGTGTGTCTCTGTATGTCTCTATGTGTGTCTCTGTGGGTCTCCCTGTGGGTCTCTGTATGTCTCTATGTGTGTCTCTGTGGGTCTCCCTGTGGGTCTCTGTATGTCTCTGTGTGTCTCTGTGGGTCTCTATGTGTGTCGATGGCTCTCTGTGTGTCTATATTAGTCTGTCATAGCGGAGGGAAGAGACTCACCAACTCCCTGTGGGTCTCTATGTGTGTCTATGGGTCTCTGTGTGTCTCTGTGTGTCTCTGTGGGTCGCCCTGTGGGTCTCCCTGTGGGTCTCTATGTGTGTCTATGGGTCTCTGTGGCTCTCCCTGTGGGTCTCTATGTGTGTCTATGGGTCTCTGTGTGTCTATATTAGTCTGTAATAGCGGAGGGAAGAGACTCACCAACTCCCTGTGGGTCTCTATGTGTGTCTATGGGTCTCTGTGGCTCTCCCTGTGGGTCTCTATGGGTCTCTGTGGGTCTCTGTGTGTCTATATTAGTCTGTAATAGCGGAGGGAAGAGACTCACCAACTCCCTGTCGGTCTCTATGGGTCTCTGTGGGTCTCTGTAGGTCTCTGTAGGTCTCTGTGGCTCTCTGTGTGTCTCTGTGTGTCTCTGTGTGTCTCTGTGGGTCTCTGTGGGTCTCTGTGTGTCTATATTAGTCTGTAATAGCGGAGGGAAGAGACTCACCAACTCCCTCTGGGTCTCTATGTGTGTCTATGGGTCTCTGTGAGTCTCTGTGGGTCTCTGTGGGACGTTGTGGATCTCTGTGAGTCTCTGTGGGTCTCTGTGAGTTTCTGTGTGTCTCTGTGGGTCTCTATGGGTCTCTATGGGTCTCTGTGGGTCTTTGTTGGTCTCTATGAATCTCTGTGGGTCTCTGTTTGTCTCTGTGAATCTCTGTGGGTGTCTCTGTGTGTCTCTGTGGGTCTCTCTGTGGGTCTCTGTGGTGTGTCTATGGGTCTCTGTGTCGGTCTCTGTAGGTCTCTGTGTGTCTCTGTGTGTCTCTGTGGTTCTCTCTGTGTGTCTCTGTGGGTCTCTCTGTGGGTCCCTGTGGGTGTCTATGGGTCTCTGTGTGGGTCTCTGTGGGTCTCTGTAGGTCTCTGTGGCTCTCTCTGTGTGTCTCCCTGTGTGTCTCTGTGGGTCTCTGTGGGTGTCTATGGGTCTCTGTGTGTCTATATTAGTCTGTAATAGCGGAGGGAAGAGACTCACCAACTCCCTGTGGGTCTCTATGTGTGTCTATGGATCTCTGTGTGTCTATATTAGTCTGTAATAGCGGAGGGAAGAGACTCACCAACTCCCTGTGGGTCTCTATGTGTGTCTATGGGTCTCTGTGTGTCTATATTAGTCTGTAATAGCGGAGGGAAGAGACTCACCAACTCCCTGTGGGTCTCTATGGGTCTCTGTGGGTCTCTGTGTGTCTATATTAGTCTGTAATAGCGGAGGGAAGAGACTCACCAACTCCCTGTGGGTCTCTATGTGTGTCTATGGGTCTCTGTGTGTCTATATTAGTCTGTAATAGCGGAGGGAAGAGACTCACCAACTCCCTGTGGGTCTCTATGTGTGTCTATGGGTCTCTGTGGGTCTCTATGGGTCCCTGTGGGTGTCTATGGGTCTCTGTGTGGGTCTCTGTGGGTCTCTGTGGGTCTCTGTGTGTCTCTGTGGCTCTCTCTGTGTGTCTCTGTGTGTCTCTGTGGGTCTCTGTGTGTCTCTGTGGGTCTCCCTGTGGGTCTCTATGTGTGTCTATGGGTCTCTGTGGGTCTCTGTGTGTCTCTGTGGGTCTCTGTGGGTCTATATTAGTCTGTAATAGCGGAGGGAAGAGACTCACCAACTCCCTGTGGGTCTCTATGTGTGTCTATGGGTCTCTGTGTGTCTATATTAGTCTGTCATAGCGGAGGGAAGAGACTCACCAACTCCCTGTGGGTCTCTATGTGTGTCTATGGGTCTCTGTGGGTCTCTATGGGTCCCTGTGGGTGTCTATGGGTCTCTGTGTGGGTCTCTGTGGGTCTCTGTGGGTCTCTGTGTGTCTCTGTGGCTCTCTCTGTGTGTCTCTGTGTGTCTCTGTGGGTCTCTGTGTGTCTCTGTGGGTCTCCCTGTGGGTCTCTATGTGTGTCTATGGGTCTCTGTGGGTCTCTGTGTGTCTCTGTGGGTCTCTGTGGGTCTATATTAGTCTGTAATAGCGGAGGGAAGAGACTCACCAACTCCCTGTGGGTCTCTATGTGTGTCTATGGGTCTCTGTGTGTCTATATTAGTCTGTCATAGCGGAGGGAAGAGACTCACCAACTCCTTGTGGCTCTCTCTGTGTGTCTATGGGTCTCTGTGTGTCTCTGTGGGTCTCCCTGTGGGTCTCTATGTGTGTCTATGGGTCTCTGTGTGTCTATATTAGTCTGTCATAGCGGAGGGAAGAGACTCACCAACTCCCTGTGGGTCTCTATGTGTGTCTATGGGTCTCTGTGGCTCTCCCTGTGGGTCTCTATGGGTCTCTATGGCTCTCTGTGTGTCTATATTAGTCTGTCATAGCGGAGGGAAGAGACTCACCAACTCCCTGTGCTCCGGCCTTGCAAGCATAGTGCAGTAGCGTCATGTCGGTGAGTCCATCTCTGTCGTTGACGTTGAAGTCTCGAAGCAGCATCTGCGGTAACATCGACACCCACAGAGAACCATCGACACGCAGAGAACCATAGACACCCATAGGACTCACACAGAGACTCATAGACACTCACACAGAGACTCATAGACACTCAGAGAACCATAGACACCCATAGGACTCACACAGAGACTCATAGACACTCACACAGAGACTCATAGACACTCAAGAGAACCATAGACACCCATAGGACTCACACAGAGACTCATAGACACTCACACAGAGAACCATAGACACCCATAGGACTCACACAGAGACTCACACAGACTCATAGACACTCACTCAGAGAACCATAGACACCCATAGGACTCACACAGAGACTCACAGACACTCACACAGAGAACCATAGACACCCATAGACTCACACAGAGACTCACACAGACTCATAGACACTCACTCAGAGAACCATAGACACCCATAGGACTCACACAGAGACTCATAGACACTCACACAGAGAACCATAGACACCCATAGGACTCACACAGAGACTCACACAGACTCATAGACACTCACACAGAGACTCATATACACTCACACAGAGACTCATCGACACCCATAGGACTCACACAGAGACTCATAGACACTCACACAGAGAACCATAGACACCCATAGGACTCACACAGAGACTCACACAGACTCATAGACACTCACACAGAGACTCATAGACACTCACACAGAGAACCATAGACACCCATAGGACTCACACAGAGACTCATAGACACTCACACAGAGACTCATAGACACTCACACAGAGAACCATAGACACCCATAGACTCACACAGAGACTCACACAGACTCATAGACACTCACACAGAGACTCATAGACACTCACACAGAGACTCATAGACACTCACACAGAGAACCATAGACACCCATAGGACTCACACAGAGACTCACACAGACTCATAGACACTCACACATAGACGCATAGATACCCATAGACTCACACAGTGACTCACACAGACTCATAGACACTCACACAGAGACTCATAGACACTCACACAGAGACTCATAGACACTCACACAGAGAACCATAGACACCCATAGACTCACACAGAGACTCACACAGACTCATAGACACTCACACAGAGACTCATAGACACTCACAAACAGACTCATAGACACTCACACAGAGACTCATAGACACTCACACAGAGACTCATAGACACTCACACAGAGAACCATAGACACCCATAGACTCACACAGAGACTCACACAGACTCATAGACACTCACACAGACTCATAGACACTCACACAGAGAACCATAGACACCCATAGACTCACACAGAGACTCACACAGACTCATAGACACTCACACAGAGACTCAAAGACACCCATAGACTCACACAGAGACTCATAGACACTCACACAGAGACTCATAGACACTCACATAGAGACTCATAGACACCCATAGACTCACACAGAGACTCATAGACACTCACACAGAGACTCGTAGACACTCATAGACTCACAAAGAGACTCACACAGAGACTCATAGACACTCATAGACTCACACAGAGACTCATAGACACTCACACAGAGACTCATAGACACTCACACAGAGACTCATAGACACCCATAGACTCACGCAGAGACTCACACAGACTCATAGACACTCACACAGAGGCTCATAGACACCTATAGACTCACACAGACTCATAGACACTCACAGAGACTCATAGACACCTATAGACTCACACAGAGACTCACACAGACTCATAGACACTCACACAGAGACCCATAGACACTCACACAGAGAACCATCGACACTCACACAGAGAACCATAGACACCCATAGACTCACACAGAGACTCACACAGACTCATAGACACTCACAGAGACTCATAGAGACTCACACAGAGACTCATAGACACTCACACAGAGACTCATAGACTCTCATAGACTCACACAGAGACTCATAGACACTCACACAGAGACTCAGACACTCACACAGAGACTCATAGACACTCACACAGAGAACCATAGAAACGCATAGACTCACACAGAGACTCACACAGACTCATAGACACTCACACAGAGACTCATAGACACTCACACAGAGACTCATAGACACTCACACAGAGAACCATAGACACTCACACAGAGACTCATAGACACTCACACAGAGAACCATAGACACTCATAGACTCACACAGAGACTCACACAGACTCATAGACACTCACACAGAGAACCATAGACACTCACACAGAGAACCATAGACACCCATAGACTCACACAGAGACTCACACAGACTCATAGACACTCACACAGAGGCTCATAGACACCCATAGACTCACACAGACTCATAGACACTCACAGAGACTCATAGACACCTATAGACTCACACAGAGACTCACACAGACTCATAGACACTCACACAGAGACCCATAGACACTCACACAGAGAACCATCGACACTCACACAGAGAACCATAGACACCCATAAACTCACACAGAGACTCATAGACACCCATAGACTCGCAAAGAGACTCACACAGACTCATAGACACTCACACAGAGACTCAGACACCCAGAGACTCACACAGACACTCATAGATTCACCGACCCACCCACTCACCCACTCACCCACCCACCCACTCACCCACCCACCTACCCACCTACCCACCCACCCACCTACCCACCCGCCCACCCATTCACCCACCAGCCCAATCACTCACCCACCCACCTACCCACCCACACCCCCACTCACCCACTGACCCACTCACTCACTCACCAACCCACTCACTCACTCATTCACCCACCCACCCACCCACTCACCCACCCACCCACCCACTCACCCACTCTTTCACCAACCCACTCACTCACCCACTCACCCACCCACTCACCGACCCACCCACCCACACCCTCCACCCACCCACTCACCCACACACTCACCCACCCACTCACTCACCCACCCACCCACTCACTCACTCACTCACCCACTCACCCACCCAATCACTCACCCACTCACCCACTTTAACCCATTCACCCACCCACTCACTCACTCACCCACTCACTCATTCACTCACCCACTCACCCACTCACCCACCCACTCACTCACTCACTCACCAACCCACTCACCCACTCATTCACCCACCCACCCACTCACCCACTCACCCACCCACTCACTCACCCACTCATTCACCTACTCACCCACCCACTCACCCACTCACTCACCCACTCACTCACTCACCCACTCACTCACTCACCCACTCATTCACCAACCCACTCACTCACTCACCCACTCACTCACTCACCCACTCACTCACCCATTCACCCACTCACCCACCCAATCACCCACCCACTCACTCACTCACTCACCCACTCACCCCCCCACCCACCCACCCCCACCCCCCCCACACCCACCCACCTGCTCTCCGATGAGCTCCACCCTCTGCTGCACCTGGGGCACCCACTCACCAACCCACTCACCAACCCACTCACTCACTCATTCACCCACCCACTCACTCACTCACTCACCCACTCACTCACCCACTCACTCACTCACCCATTCACCCACTCACCCACCCAATCACCCACCCACTCACTCACTCACCCACCCACTCACTCACCCACCCACTCACTCACCCACTCATTCACCTACTAACCCACCCACTCACCCACTCACCCACCCACTCACTCACCCACCCACTCACTCACCCACTCATTCACCTGCTCACCCACCCACTCACCCACTCACTCACCCACTCACTCACTCACCCACACACTCATTCACTCACCAACCCACTCACCCACCCCCCACTCACCCACCCACCCACCCACTCACCCACCCCCCACCCACCCACTCACCCACTCACCCACCCCCCACTCACCCACTCACCCACCCCCCACACCCACCCCCCACACCCCCCACCCACACCCCGCACCCACCCACTCACCCACTCACCCACCCACCCACTCACCCACTCACCCACCCACCCACTCACGCACTCGCTCACCCACCCACTCACTCACTCACCCACTCACCCACCCACCCACCCACCCCCCCACCCACCCCCCACACCCCCCACCCACCCCCCCCACCCACCCCCCACCCCCCCACCCACCCACTCACCCACTCACCCACCCACCCACTCACTCACCCACTCACTCACCCACCCACCCACTCACCCACTCACCCACCCACCCACTCACTCACCCACTCACCCACTCACTCACCCACCCACCCACCCACTCACTCACCAACCCACTCACTTACTCACCCACTCACTCACTCACCCACCCACTCACCCACCCACCCCCCACCCCCCACCCACCCACCCACACCCACCCACCTGCTCTCCGATGAGCTCCACCCTCTGCTGCACCTGAGGCACCCACCCACCAACCCACTCACCCATTCACCCACCCACCAACCCACTCACCCATTCACCCACTCACCCACCCACCCACTCATTCACCAACCCACTCACCCACTCACCAACCCACTCACCCATTCACCCACCCACCCACCCACTCACCCACTCTTTCACCAACACACTCACTCACTCACCCACTCACCCACTCAATCACTCCCCTACCCACCCACCCCCCCCACCCACTCACCCACACCCCCACCCACCCCCCCCCCCCCACCCACCTGCTCTCCGATGAGCTCCACCCTCTGCTGCACCTGAGGCACCCACTCACCAACCCACTCATCAACCCACTCACTCACTCATTCACCCACCAACCCACCCACTCACCCACTCACCCACCCACCCACTCACCCACCCACCCACCCACTCACTCACCCACCCACCCACCCCACCCACCCCCCACCCACCCCCCCCACCCACCCCCCCACCCACCTGCTCTCCGATGAGCTCCACCCTCTGCTGCACCTGAGGTACCCACTCACCAACCCACTCACCCATTCACCCACCCACCCACCCACCACCCACCCCCCACCCACCACCCACACCCCCCACCCATCCACCCACCCACCCACCTGCTCTCCGATGAGCTCCACCCTCTGCTGCACCTGAGGTACCCACTCACCAACCCACTCACCCACTCACCAACCCACTCACCCACTCACCCACTCACCCACTCACTCACCCACTCACCCACTCCCCCCCCCCCCCCCAACCACCCCCCCCCAAAACACCCCCCCCCCACCCCCCCCCCCCCCCACCCACCCACTCACCCACCCCCACCCACACCCACCCACCTGCTCTCCGATGAGCTCCACCCTTTGCTGCACCTGAGGCACCCACTCACCAACCCACTCACCCATTCACCCACTCACCAACCAACTCACCCACTCACCCACTCACCCACCCACTCACCCACCCACTCACCCACCCACCCACTCACCCACCCCCCCCCACACCCACCCCCCCCCCCACCCACACCCCCCCACACACCCACCCACCTGCTCTCCGATGAGCTCCACCCTCTGCTGCACCTGAGGTACCCACCCACTCACCCACTCACCCACTCACCCACTCACCAACCCACTCACCCATTCACCCACTCACCCACCCAATCACTCACTCACCCACCCACTCACCCACTCACCCACTCACTCACCCACCCACTCAGTCACTCCCCCACCCACCCACCCACTCACCCACCCACCCACACCCACCCACCTGCTCTCCAATGAGCTCCACCCTCTGCTGCACCTGAGGTACCCACTGCCGCACGACAGCGAACAGCTGAGCCACAGTGGTGGACGGATCAGTGAGGACAGCCTGGCAAGCCAAGTCGGCCGGGTCGAAGAACGAGAAGCCTGGGCAGGGGTCAAGACGGACGTGTGGGTGGGTGGTGTGGGTGGGTGGGTGGTGTGGGTGGGTGGTGTGGGTGGGTGGGTGAGTGGGTGGGTGGTGTGGGTGGGTGGTGTGGGTGGTGTGGGTGGGTTGGTCAGTGAGGACAGCCTGGCAAGCCAAGTCGGCCGGGTCGAAGAACGAGAAGCCTGGGCAGGGGTCAAGACGGACGTGTGGGTGGGTGGTGTGGGTGGTGTGGGTGGGTGGTGTGGGTGGTGTGGGTGGGTGGTGTTGGTGGGTGGTGTGGGTGGTGTGGGTGGTGTGGGTGGTGTGGGTGGGTGGGTGGGTGAATGAGTGGGTGAGTGGGTTGGTGAATGAGTGGGTGAGTGGGTGGGTGGGTGAGTGGGTGGGTGAGTGGGTGGGTGGGTGGGTGAGTGGGTGAGTGGGTGAGTGGGTGGGTGGGTGGGTGAGTGGGTGAGTGGGTGGTGTGGGTGGTGTGGGTGGTGTGGGTGGGTGGTGTGGGTGGGTGGGTGGTGTGGGTGGGGTGGGTGGGTGGTGTGGGTGGTGTGGGTGGTGTGGGTGGGTGGGTGGGTGGGTGGTGTGGGTGGTGTGGGTGGGTGGGTGGTGTGGGTGGTGTGGGTGAGTGGGTGGTGTGGGTGGTGTGGGTGGGTGAGTGGGTGAGTGGGTGAGTGGGTGGTGTGGGTGGTGTGGGTGGTGTGGGTGGGTGGTGTGGGTGGGTGGGTGGTGTGGGTGGGGTGCGTGGGTGGTGTGGGTGGTGTGGGTGGTGTGGGTGGGTGGGTGGGTGGGTGGTGTGGGTGGTGTGGGTGGGTGGGTGGTGTGGGTGGTGTGGGTGAGTGGGTGGTGTGGGTGGTGTGGGTGGGTGGTGTGGGTGGTGTGGGTGGGTGGGTGGTGTGGGTGGTGTGGGTGGGTGGTGTGGGTGGTGTGGGTGGGGGGTGTGGGTGGGTGGGTGGTGTGGGTGGTGTGGGTGGGTGGTGTGGGTGGTGTGGGTGGGTGGGTGGGTGGTGTGGGTGGTGTGGGTGGGTGGGTGGTGTGGGTGGGTGAGTGGGTGTGTGGGGGTGTGGGTGGGTGGTGTGGGTGGGTGAGTGGGTGAGTGGGTGGGTGAGTGGGTGAGTGGGTGAGTGGGTGGGTGGTGTGGGTGCGTGAGTGGGTGAGTGGGTGGGTGAGTGGGTGAGTGGGTGAGTGGGTGGGTGAGTGGGTGAGTGGGTGGGTGGGTGGGTGGTGTGGGTGGGTGGATGGTGTGGGTGGTGTGGGTGGTGTGGGTGGTGTGGGTGAGTGGGCGGGGGTTCACGACGGACGTGTGGGTGGGTGGTGTGGATGGCGTGGGTGGTGTGGGTGGGTGGGTGGGCAGGGTTCACGACGGACGTGTGGGTGGGTGGGTGGGTGGTGTGGGTGGTGTGGGTGGTGTGGGTGAGTGGGTGGGTGGGTGGTGTGGGTGGGTGGGTGGTGTGGGTGGGTGGGTGGGTGGTGTGGGTGGGTGAGTGGGTGGATGGTGTTCACGACGGACGTGTGGGTGGGTGGGTGGTGTGGGTGGTGTGGGTGGTGTGGGTGGGTGGGTGGGTGGGCGGGGTTCACGACGGACGTGTGGGTGGGTGGGTGGTGTGGGTGGGTGGGTCGTGTGGGTGGTGTGGGTGGGTGGGTGGGTGGGCGGGGTTCACGATGGACGTGTGGGTGGGTGGGTGGTGTGGGTGAGTGGGTGGGGGGGGTTCACAACGGACGTGTGGGTGGTGTGGGTGGTGTGGGTGGTGTGGGTGGTGTGGGTGGGTGGGTGGTGTGGGTGGTGTGGGTGGTGTGGGTGAGTGGGTGAGTGGGTGAGTGGGTGGGTGGGCGGGGGTTCACGACGGACGTGTGGGTGGGTGGTGTGGATGGTGTGGGTGGGTGGGTGGGCAGGGTTCACGACGGACGTGTGGGTGGGTGGGTGGGGTTCACGGTGTCCGTGTGGGTGGGTGGAGGTCACGGTGACCGTGTGTGTGTGTGGGTGGAGGTCACGGTGACCATGTGGGTGGGTGACGGTCACGGTGACCGTGTGTGTGTGTGGGTGGAGGTCACGGTGACCATGTGGGTGGGTGACGGTCACGGTGACCGTGTGTGTGTGTGGGTGGAGGCCACGGTGACCGTGTGGGTGGGTGGGGTTCACTATGACCGTGTGGGTGGGTGGAGGTCACCGTGACCGTGTGTGTCGGTGGAGGTCACCGTGACCGTGTGTGTGGGTGGAGGTCACGGTGACCGTGTGTGTGTGTGGGTCACCGTGACCGTGTGTGTGTGTGGGTCACCGTCTGCTCTTCACCTACCGTAGTTGGTCGGCATCGGAGCCCGAGCAACGGGGTGAGTTATGGGTTTACGGTTTCCTCCCACGCCGTGTCTGCGAGTCTCCGCTGTGTCCGCGGCTGTCCCCGCGGTGTCCCCGGCTGTCCCCGCGGCTGTCTCCGCGGTGTCCCCATTCTCTCCGCCGCCAGTTGATTCCTTTGTCATCGCCTCGGGAGGCAGAAGGTGGCAACACCGTGAACACCACCCACACACACACACACGGACATAGTGAACAACAACAACAACAACCGCCATTCGCCACTAAGTGGCGGTGAACGTCACCACGACGCTTGTGCCAGGCCATGTGCACCCTGAGGCCACGTGAAGTGTCGAACGCCCGCTGGCAGGAGGTCACGGGGCAGACCCAGCAGGTGCCACGGGTCGACTGACTGAGATGACTGGCTGATGCACCACCTGTGCCCCCTACTGTGCCAACCCGCTGTGCTTTAGCCACCCGGCGCTCCGCTCGTTGTTCTGAGCGTCGCTCCTCCGCCCTCCGTTGTTGTTGGAGGGCGACTGCCTCCAACTGCCCAGTAGCATCCTTCACGAGCCTCCTCCACAGAAGCCGATCTTGACACCGCTGGTACCAGTCATCGGCAAGTCCACTCAGCTCCACGTCCTCCTGTACCACATCACTCCATCTCTTCTCTAGCCCGTGCCGCGCCCGCTTAGCCCCCTCAATCCGGCCAAACAAAAGCTGTTTCGGCATGCGGTGGCTGGGCATGCGGGCTACATGACCCAGCCATCGCAGACTTGCCTGCCGGAGGAGCTCACCGATGGGACCCTGCCCAGATCTTTCAAGGATTTGTGAGCTCCTCACACAATCCAGTCTGGTTAAACCCAGGATGGATCGTAGGCAGGCCAGCCTAAATGATTCTAACCGGCGAAGATGTTCCATTAGGGGGGGTCCACGTTTCGCAAGTGTAGAGAAGGGAGGGAATGACCGTGGCCGAGAAGACCTGAAGCTTAGTGCGGAGCGACAGACCAGGTAGCTTCCACACAGCGTTACGCAACCGATGAAAAGATATTGCCGCTCGACTGATTCGGAGTGAGACCTCTGCTGTTAAACTGGAGCCAGTCATAAGCACACTGCCCAGGTATGGGAAACTCTCCACTCTCTCCACAACTGCCCCATCACCGATTGGGAGTTGTGGGGGTGGAGTGTCCGATGGTACAAAATACCCAGGCAGGTGCTTAGTTTTGGTGGGGCTGATGGTAAGGCCCCACCTCTTAGTGGCACGCTCCAGTCTCAGCAGCAGCGTCTCCAACTCCTCCTCTGACTGAGCAGCTATTACCAAATCATCAGCATACATAACGTGGTTGAGCAATAGGGAGCCATCCCTTGACCGCACCCGGGCATCGATTAGCCTCCCATTATATCTGTACCATATGGAGATTCCCCCGGTACAGCTATTGAAGGCTTCACGAACTACGTGGTCAAAATAGATGTTAAATAATGTGGGAGCCAGAGGACATCCCTGTCGCACCCCAAGGTGTACAGGGAATGGCTCTGACTCCCGGCCACGTAGTTTTACCCGGGCCCGCTCACCATCATGAAGGTCCTTAATGATCGTGAGCAGAGGGTCAGATACTCCAAAAGCACGAAGCACGACCCAGAGCCCAGGCCTACTGATGGTATCATAGGCCTTGACCAGGTCAATAAAGCAGAGATGTAGGTCTTGTTGGAATTCCCTACACCTCTGCTGTAGCAGACGGACAGAAAATATGGCATCTGTGCAGGACCGCCCTTTCCTGAAACTGCATTGGGGCTCCGCAAGCCTCTCCTCAGCGTGCCTGGTAAGGCGATGCTGAATAATCCTTGCCAGGACCTTTCCCGGCACACTGAGGAGTGAGATGCCCCTGTAGTTGTTACAATATGTGCGGTCCCCCTTCTTTAAAAGGGGGACCACCAGGGCATCCTTCCAATCCTGCGGAACCCGTCCAGTGGTCCAGACTGTTGTTATGATGTCATATAGGGCAGTCTGTGCACAAACGCCACCCTCCCTCAGCATTTCGCTTGGGAGATCATCTCTGCCCGCTGCCTTTCCTGGTCTCAGACTCCGGATCGCCTTCAATACTTCCTCAGCAGATGGCACCTCAGCCAGCCACTCACAGGGGGTGACTTCTTCCAATATTTGAGGCACCGCAGCCTCAGCAGGGTCATCCTCACTTTGTGCCACGATGTTTTCCTGGCTGAGGGATTTTCCCTCCCCCAGGACCTCACAGAAATGCTCAGCAAATCTGCGAACCTGTTCCTGGGGGTCGGAGATTGGATCACCGTTTTTTCCCCTAATGATGGTAATAGGTGTGGCGCTGTAGGTTACTTTTTTGATGGAGTTAAATAGAGATTTGTGATCACGGGCCACTGAGGCAGACTCCATCTCCTCAGCAACCCGCGACCACCACCCATCCTTGCAGCGCCTCACGGCTCTCCGAACCTCCAAGCGAAGGCTGCGGTAAGCCTCCTCATTCTCTGACGTGGGATTCTGTAGCCGATGACAGTGGGCCTGTCGCTTTTTCTCAACCATCCTGAACACCTCCTCTGTCAGCCAGGGTCTCTGGGGAGATCTGGACCGCGTACCCAAAGCAGCCATTGCAGCTGCATGAGTCACAGTCCTAAACCTCGCCCATTTACCCTCGACATCAGGAGGAGTCGGGGACGATGCCAATCCCAGCCGCAAGCGATGATTAAATTCTCGCTTGCAACTTTCATCAGATAACTGAGACCAGGCCACTTTATGCTGGAATGGGGTCCTGGGTGTACACCCACCACCGGAGTGGAAGAATGGCAGGCGCATCTTACAGATGACTAGTCGATGGTCAGAGGGCAGATCAGCTCCACGGTAGGTCCTGGTGTCAAGGACATGGGCTCGCATTCGCTGGTCCGTCACTATGTAGTCCAGCAGATGTTCTTGCTTGGACCCGGCATGCATCCATGATGTTGTGTGGATGCGCCGATGCCGGAACAGCGTGTTGGTAATTACAAGCCCATGGGCTGCACAAAAATCTAGCAGCCTCCTACCGTTGTTATTGAGCTGATCTGGCCCATGCCCTCCAATCACTCCAGACCAGGTGCCAGTATCATGACCAACTCGGGCATTGAAGTCACCCAACATGATGACTCTATCCCGAGGGGCCACTTTAGCCAGCACCTGTGACAGGAGGTCATAGAAGGCATCTGACTCATCGGCTTTGCCTGCATCCCTCCACGGATGTTCATCTTCGGTGGGGGCATAAGTAACCACGACCACCATTCCTCGCCTCCGGTTGATGGGAAGGCGAGCCCAAAGTAGCTTCCCACACCTCACCGCCACGCTCCCATGCCCCCTTCATTCTTTTACATAGTGAACAACACACACACACACGGACATAGTGAACACCACACACACACACACGGACATAGTGAACAACACACACACACGGACATAGTGAACACCACAGACACACACACACCCACACAGACACCGTGAACACCGCCCACCCACATGGACATAGTGAACCCCACCCACCCACACGGTCACCGTGAACACCACCCACCCCCCCACCCACACGGACAACGTGAACAGCACACACACACACGGACATAGTGAACACCACACACACACACACACGGTCACCGTGAACACCACCCACCCACACGGTCACCGTGAACCCCACCCACCCACACGACCACCGTGAACCCCACCCACCCACACGGACATCGTGAACCCCACCCACCCACATGGACATCGTGAACCCCACCCACCCACACGGCCAATGTGGTGATGATGATGATGGTGGCGACGACGACGATGACACTATACACTACTACACTACACTACTACACTACACACTACTACACTACACACTACACTATACACTACTACACTATACACTACTACACTATACACTACACTATACACTACTACACTATACACTACACACTATACACTACTACACTATACACTACTACACTACTACACTATTACACTACACTATACACTACTACACTATACACTAGTATACACTACACTATACACTACTACACTACACTACTACACTAGACACTACTACACTACACTATACACTACTACACTACACTACTACACTATACACTACTACACTACACAATACACTACACTATACACTACTACACTATACACTACTACACTACACTATACACTACTACACTATGCACTACTACACACTACTACACTGCACTACACACTACTACACTATACACTAAACTATACACTACTACACACTACACTATACACTACTACACTATGCACTACTACACTACAACATTACACTATACACTAATACACTATACACTCCTACACTATGCACTACTACACACTACTACACTATACACTACTACACTACACTATATACTACTACACTATACACTACTTACACTATCCACTACTACACACTACTACACTATACACTATACTATACACTACACTATACACTACACACTACTACACTATACACTACTACACTATACACTACATTATACACTACTACACTATACACTATTACACTACACTATACACTAGTACACTATACACTACTACAGTACATTATACACTACTGCACTATACTATACACTACTACACTATACACTACTACACTATACACTACTACACTAAACTATACACTACTACACTACACTATACACTACTACACTGTACACTACTACACTACACTATACACTACTACACTATACACTACTACACTACACTATACACTACACTATTACACTACTACACTATACACTACTACACTACTGCACTACACTATACACTACTGCACTACACTACACACTACTACACTACACTACTACACTATACACTACTACACTATACAATACACTACTACACTATACTAGACACTACTACACTACACTATACACTACACTATACACGACTACACTATACACTACTACACTATACACTACTACACTACACTATACACTACTATACTACACTATACACTACACTATACACTACTACACTACACTATAGACTACTACACTATACACTACTACACTATACAATACACTACTACACTACACTAGACACTACTACACTACACTATACACTACACTATACACGACTACACTATACACTACTACACTATACACTACTACACTACACTATACACTACTATACTACACTATACACTACTACACTACACTATAGACTACTACACTATACACTACTACACTACACGACTACACTATACACTAAACTACACTATACACTACACTATACAATACTACACTACACTATTACACTACACTATACACTACTACAGTATACACTACTACACACTACTATACACTACACGATACACTATACACCATACAGTGAGGGAAAAAAGTACTTGATCCCCTGCTGATTTTGTACGTTTGCCCACTGACAAAGAAATGATCACTCTATAATTCTAATGGTAGGTTTATTTGAACGGTGAGAGACAGACTAACAACAGGAAAATCCAGAAAAACGCACGTCAAAAACGTCATCAATTGATTTGCATTTTAACGAGGGAAATAAGTATTTGACCCCCCTCTGCAAAACGTGACTTAGTACTTGGTGGCAAAAGCCTTGCTGGCAATCACAGAGGTCAGACGTTTCTTGTAGTTGGCCACCAGGTTTGCAACACATCTCAGGAGGGATTTTGATCCCACTCCCTTCTTAGCAGATCTTCTCCCAAGTCATTAAAGGTTTCGAGGCCGACGATTGGCAACTCGAACCTTCAGCTCCCTCCACAGATTTTCCTACGGGATTAAGGGTCTGGAGACTATGCTAGGCCCACTCCAGGACCTTGATGTGCCTCTTCTTGAGCCACTCCTTTGTTGCCTTGGCCGTGGTGTTTTTGGGGTTCATTGTCATGCTGGAATACCCATCCGCGGACCCATTTTCAATGCCCTGGCCGAGGGAAGGAGGTTCTCAACCCAAGATTTGACGGTAACATGGCCCCCGTCCATCGTCCCCTTTGATGCGGTGAAGTTGTCCTGTCCCCTTAGCAGAAAGACACCCCCCCAAAGCATAATGTTTCCACCTCCGTGTCTCACGGTGGGGGAGATGGTGTTCTTGGGGTCAGAGGCAGCATTCCTCCTCCTCCTCCAAACACGGCGAGTTGAGTTGATGCCAAAGAGCTCCATTTTTAGTCCCGTCTGACCACAACACTTTCACCCAGTTGTCCTCTGAATCATTGTAGATGTTCACTGGCAAACTTCAGACGGGCATGTACACGTGCTTTCTTGAGCAGGGGGACCTTGCGGGCGCTGCAGGATTTCGGTCCTTCACGGCGTAGTGTGTTACCGATTGTTATCTTGGTGACTATGAGATCATTGACAAGATCCTCCCGTGTAGTTCTGGGCTGATTCCTCACCGTTCTCACGATCATTGCAACTCCACGAGGCGAGATCTTGCATGGAAGGCCCAGGCCGAAGGAGATTGACAGTTCTTTTGCGTTTCTTCCATTTGCGGATAGTCGCACCCAACTGTTGTCACCTTCTCACCAAGCTGCTTGGCAATGGTCTTGTAAGCCCATTCCAGCCTTGTGTAGGTCTACAATCTTGTCCCTGACATCCTTGGAGAGCTCTTTGGTCTTGGGCCATGGTGGAGAGTTTGGAAATCTGATTGATTGATTGCTTCTGTGGACAGGTGACTTCTATACAGGTAACAAGCTGAGATTAGGAGCACTCCCTTTAAGAGTGTGCTCCTAATCTCAGCTCGTTACCTGTATAAAAGACACCTGGGAGCCAGAAATCTTTCTGATTGAGAGGGGGTCAAATACTTATTTGCCTCATTAAAATGCAAATCAATTTATAACATTTTTGACATGCGTTTTTCTGGATTTTGTTGTTGTTATTCTGTCTCTCACTGTTCAAATGAAGCTACCATGAAAATAACAAACTTATAATTTCTTTGTCAGTGGGCAAACGTACAAAATCAGCAGGGGATCAAATGCTTTTTATCCCTCACTGTACACTACTATACACTACACTACTATACACTATACTATACGCTACTATACACTACAGGACTACACTATACACTACAGTATACACTACACTACTATATAATACACTACTATGCACTACACTACTATACACTACACTAATATACACTACACAATACACTACAATACAATAACCTACTATACACTACACTACTATACACTATACTATACACTACACTATACACTACTCTACACTACCCTATACACACTACACTACTATACACTACACACTACACTACACTACTATACACTAAACACTACTATACACTACACTATACACTACACTACACTATACACACTACACTACTATACACTACACACTACTATACACTACACCACTATACACAACACTACTTTACACTACACTACAATACACTACACTATACACTACTATACACTACACTACTATACACTACACTATACACTACTATACACTACACTACTATACACAACACTACTATACACTACACTATACACTACTATACACTACACTACTATACACTACACTACTATACACAACACTACTATACACTACACTACTATACACTACACAACTATACACTACTTTACACTACACTATACACTACTACACTATACACACTACACTACTATACACTACACCACTACCCAGTACACCATCACTAAAACTACCATCACCATCACCACTACCATTATCACCATCACTACTACCACCATCACCATCACTACCACCATCATCACCATCACCACTACCATCACCATCATCACCATCACCACTACCATTATCACCATCACTACTACCACCATCACCATCACTACTACCACCATCACTACTACCATCATCACCATCACTACTACCACCATCACCATCACTACTACCACCATCACCATCACTACTACCACCATCACCATCACTACTACCATCATCACCATCACTACTACCACCATCAACATCACTACTACCACCATCACCATCACTACTACCATCATCACCATCACTACTACCACCATCACCGTCACTACTACAACCATCACCATCACTACTACCATCATCACCATCACTACTACCATCATCACCATCACTACTACCATCATCACCACTACCACCATCATCAACATCACTACTACCACCATCACTACTACCATCATCATCATCACTACTACCACCATCACCATCACTACTACCACCATCACCATCACTACTACCATCATCACCATCATTACTACCATCATCACCATCACTACTACCACCATCACCATCACTACTACCACCAAAACCATCACTACTACCATCATCACCATCACCACTACCACCATCATAACCATCACTAGTACCATCATCACCACTACCATCATCACCAACACTACTACCACCATCACCATCACTTCTACCACCATCACCACCACCATCATCACCATCATCACTACTACCACCATCACCACCACCACCACCACAATCACAACATCACCATCATCATCATTACTAACATTACCATCATCACCACCATCACTACCACCATCACTACAACCACCATCACCATCACTACTACCGTCATCACCATAACTACTACCACCATCACCATCAATACTACCACCATCACCATCACTACAACCACCATCACCATCACTACTACCACCATCACTACTACCACCATCACCATCACTACTACCACCATCACCATCACTACTACCACCATCACCACTACCATCATCACCATAACCACTACCATCATCACCATCACCACTACCACCATCACCATCACTACTACCATCATCACCATCACCAGTACCATCATCGCCATCACTACTACCACCATCACCATCACTACTACCATCATCACTATCACTACTACCATCATCACCATCACCACTACCACCATCACCATCACTACTACCATCATCACCATCACTACTACCACCATCACCATCACCACTACCATCATCATCACGACCACCATCACCACTACCATCATCACCATCACTACTACCATCATCACCATCACCACTACCACCATCACCATCACTAGTACCATCATCACCATCACTACTGACACCATCACCATCACCACTACCATCATCATCACGACCACCATCACCATCACCACTACCATCATCACCATCACTACTACCACCATCACCATCACTACTACCACCACCATAACCATCACCACTACCACCATCACCATCACTACTACCACCATCGCCATCACTACTACCATCATCACCATCACCACTACCATCATAACCATCACTACTACCATCACCACCAACACCACCATTATCACCATCACCACCACCATCATCATCACCATGACCATGATCACCATCACCATCACCACCACCATCATCACCAGCATCACTATCACAACATCACCACCACCATCATCACCATCACCACCACCACAATCATAACATCCCCATCATCACCACCAACACCATCATCACCACAATCACAACATCACCATCATCACCACCATCATCACCATCACCACTACCAGAATCACAACATCACCATCACCATCATCACCACCATCATCATCACTACTACCACCACCAAAACAATCACATAATCACCATCACCACCACCATCATCACCACCACCATCACCACCACCATCACCACCACCATCATCATCACCACCACCATCATCACCACCACCACCACAATCACCATCACCACCACCATCATCACCACCATCACCACCACCACCATCACCACCACCATCACCACCATCATCACCACCATCACCACCATCACCACCACCACCATCACCACCACCACCACCATCATCACCACCACCATCATCATCACCACCACCACCATCACCACCACCACCATCATGATCATCACCGCCACCATCACCACCACCACCATCACCACCATCATCACCACCATCATCACCACCACCATCATAACCATCACCATCATCACCATCACCACCACCATCATCACCATCACCACCACCACCATCACCATGACCACCACCATCACCACCACCACCATCATCACCATCACCACGACCACCATCACCACCACCACCATCACCACGACCACCACCATCACCACCACCATCACCACCACCATCACCACCACCATCACAACCACCACCATCATTCACCATCACCACCACCATCATCACCACCCCTCTCACCTCTGATCGCGTCGTTTTCAGGAAAAGCAAACGCACAGACAGTGGAGACAGCGAGACAGAGAGACAGAGAGAGACACAGAGACAGAGAGAGACACAGAGACAGAGAGACAGAGAGAGACACAGAGACAGAGAGACACAGAGACAGAGAGAGACACAGAGACAGAGAGAGACAGCGAGAGAGAGAGACACAGAGACAGCGAGAGACAGAGAGAGAGAGACAGCGAGACAGAGAGAGACACACAGAGACAGAGAGAGACACAGAGACAGTGGAGACAGCGAGAGAGACACAGAGAGACAGCGAGACAGAGAGAGAGACACAGAGACAGCGAGAGACACAGAGACAGAGGCGAGGCAGGGTGGAGGGGGAGTGGCTACGATCTCGCGCATGCGCAGTGAGCGAATAATAAAACGCTGTCCGCTCATGGGTGCTGAGATGGTGGTGGTGATGGTGGTGGTGGTGATGGTGGTGATAGTGGTGGTGGTGGTGGTGATGGTGGTGGTGATGGTGATGATGGTGGTGGTGATGGTGGTGATGGTGATGATGGTGGTGGTGATGGTGGTGGTGGTGATGGTGGTGATGGTGGTGGTGATGGTGGTGATGGTGGTGATGGTGGTGGTGATGGTGGTGATGGTGGTGGTGGTGATGGTGGTGATGGTGGTGGTGGTGATGGTGGTGATGGTGGTGGTGGTGATGGTGGTGATGGTGATGGTGGTGATGGTGGTGGTGATGGTGATGATGGTGGTGGTGATGGTGGTGATGGTGATGATGGTGGTGGTGATGGTGGTGGTGGTGATGGTGGTGGTGGTGGTGATGGTGGTGGTGATGGTGATGATGGTGGTGGTGATGGTGGTGATGGTGATGATGGTGGTGGTGATGGTGGTGGTGGTGATGGTGGTGATGGTGGTGGTGATGGTGGTGATGGTGGTGATGGTGGTGGTGATGGTGATGGTGGTGATGGTGGTGGTGGTGATGGTGGTGATGGTGGTGGTGGTGATGGTGGTGATGGTGGTGGTGGTGATGGTGGTGATGGTGATGGTGGTGGTGATGGTGGTGATGGTGGTGGTGTTGGTGGTGTTGGTGGTGGTGATGGTGGTGATGGTGGTGGTGGTGATGGTGGTGATGGTGGTGTTGGTGGTGGTGATGGTGGTGGTGGTGGTGATGGTGGTGGTGGTGGTGTTGGTGGTGGTGATGGTGGTGGTGGTGATGGTGGTGGTGATGGTGGTGATGGTGGTGGTGGTGGTGATGGTGGTGGTGGTGGTGATGGTGGTGGTGGTGATGGTGGTGGTGGTGGTGATGGTGATGGTGGTGGTGGTGATGGTGATGGTGGTGATGATGGTGGTGGTGGGGGTGGTGGTGATGGTGGTGATGGTGGTGGTGATGGTGGTGGTGGTGGTGATGGTGGTGGTGATGGTGGTGGTGGTGATGGTGATGGTGGTGGTGATGATGGTGGTGGTGGTGATGGTGGTGGTGGTGATGGTGGTGATGGTGGTGGTGGTGGTGATGGTGATGGTGGTGATGGTGGTGATGATGGTGGTGGTGGGGGTGGTGGTGATGGTGGTGATGGTGGTGGTGATGGTGGTGATGGTGGTGGTGGTGATGGTGGTGGTGATGATGGTGGTGATGGTGGTGGTGGTGATGATGGTGGTGATGATGCTGGTGATGGTGGTGGTGATGGTGGTGGTGATGGTGGTGGTGATGGTGGTGATGGTGGTGGTGATGGTGATGGTGGTGGTGATGATGGTGGTGGTGATGGTGGTGGTGGTGATGGTGGTGGTGATGGTGGTGGTGATGGTGATGGTGGTGATGGTGGTGGTGGTGATGATGGTGATGGTGGTGATGGTGGTGGTGGTGGTGATGGTGATGGTGGTGATGGTGATGGTGGTGATGGTGGTGGTGGTGATGGTGGTGGTGGTGGTGGTGATGGTGGTGATGGTGGTGGTGGTGATGGTGGTGGTGATGGTGGTGATGGTGGTGATGGTGGTGGTGGTGATGGTGGTGATGGTGATGGTGGTGATGGTGGTGGTGGTGGTGATGGTGGTGATGGTGGTGATGGTGATGGTGGTGGTGATGATGGTGGTGGTGATGGTGATGGTGGTGGTGATGGTGGTGGTGATGGTGATGGTGGTGATGGTGGTGGTGGTGATGGTGGTGGTGATGGCGGTGATGGTGGTGGTGATGGTGGTGGTGATGGTGGTGATGGTGGTGATGGTGGTGGTGGTGATGATGATGGTGATGGTGGTGGTGATGGTGGTGGTGATGGTGGTGGTGATGGTGGTGGTGGTGATGATGGTGATGGTGGTAGTGATGGTGGTGGTGATGGTGGTGGTGGTGGTGATAATGGTGATGGTGGTGATGGTGGTGGTGATGGTGGTGATGATGGTGATGGTGGTGATGGTGGTGATGGTGGTGGTGATGGTGGTGGTGTTGATTGTGGTGGTGGTGATGATGGTGGTGGTGATGATGGTGGTGATGGTGATGATGGTGATGATGGTGGTGATGGTGGTGGTGATGGTGGTTATGGTGATGGTGGTGATGGTGATGGTGGTGGTGATGGTGGTGATGGTGATGGTGGTGATGGTGGTGGTGGTGATGGTGGTGATGGTGGTGGTGATGGTGATGGTGGTGGTGATGATGGTGATGATGGTGGTGATGGTGGTGATGGTGATGGTGGTGATGGTGGTGATGGGTGATGGTGGTGATGGTGGTGATGGTGATGGTGGTGGTAGTGATGTTGGTGGTGGTGGTGGTGATGGTGGTGGTGGTGGTGATGGTGGTGGTGATGGTGGTGGTGGTGGTGGTGATGGTGGTGGTGGTGATGATGGTGATGGTGGTGGTGATGGTGGTGGTGATGGTGGTGGTGGTGATGATGGTGATGGTGGTGGTGATGGTGGTGGTGATGGTGGTGGTGGTGATGATGGTGGTGATGATGATGGTGGTGATGGTGATGGTGGTGATGGTGATGGTGGTGATGGTGATGGTGGTGATGATAGTGGTGGTGATGGTGATGGTGGTGATGATGGTGGTTGTGATGGTGGTGGTGGTGATGGTGGTGATGGTGATGGTGGTGATGGTGATGGTAGTGAGGATGGCGGTAGTGTATAGTGTAGTGTAGTAGTGTATAGTGTAGTACTGTATAGTGTAGTGTAGTAGTGTATAGTGTAGTGTAGTAGTGTATAGTGTAGTGTAGCAGTGTATAGTGTAGTAGTGTATAGTGTAGTAGTGTCTAGTGTAGTGTAGTAGTGTACAGTGCAGTGTAGTAGTGTATAGTGTAGTGTAGCAGTGTATAGTGTAGTCGTGTATAGTGTAGTGAAGTAGTGTATAGTGTAGTAGTGTATAGTGTAGTGTATAGTATAGTGTATTAGTGTATAGTGTATTGTATAGTGTAGTGTATAGTGTAGTAGTGTATATTGCAGTGTAGTAGTGTATAGTGTAGTAGTGTCGTCTAGAAGTGTGTAGTGTATAGTGTAGTATATAGTATAGTGTAGTAGTGTATAGTGTAATGTATAGTACAGTGTAGTAGTGTGTAGTGTAGTAGTTTATAGTGTAGTGTATAGTGTAGTAGTGTATAGTGTAACGGTGTATAATGTAGTATAGTAGTGTATAGTGTAGTAGTGTATAGTGTAGTGTAGTAGTGTCTAGTGTGGTGTAGTAGTGTATTGTGTAGTAGTGTAAATTGTAGTGTAGTAGTGTATAGTGTTGTAGTGTATAGTGTGTGGTGAGTCTATGGGTCTCTATGGGTCTCTGTGTGGTGAGTCTATGGGTCTCTGTGTGGTGAGTCTATGGGTCTCTGTGTGGTGAGTCTGTGGGTCTCTGTGTAGAGAGTCTATGGGTCTCTGTGTGGTGAGTCTATGGGTCTCTGTGTGGTGAGTCTGTGGGTGTCTGTGTAGTGAGTCTGTGGATCTCTGTGTGGTGAGTCTATGGGTCTCTGTGTGGTGAGTCTATGGGTCTCTGTGTGGTGAGTCTCTGAGGCTCTGTGTGGTGAGTCTGTGGGTCTCTGTATGGTGAGTCTGTGGGTCTCTGTGTGGTGAGTCTATGGGTCTCTGTGTGGTGAGTCTATGAGTCTCTGTGTGGTGAGTCTATGGGTCTCTGTGTGGTGAGTCTATGGGTCTCTATGTGGTGAGTCTATGGGTCTCTGTGTGGTGAGTCTATGGGTCTCTGTGTGGTGAGTCTGTGGGTCTCTGTGTGGTGAGTCTATGGGTCTCTGTGTTGTGAGTCTGTGGGTCTCTGTGTGGTGAGTCTATCGGTCTCTGTGTGGTGAGTCTGTGGGTCTCTGTGTGGTGAGTCTGTGGGTCTCTGTGTAGTGAGTCTGTGGGTCTCTGTGTGGTGAGTCTGTGGGTCTCTGTGTGGTGAGTCTGTGGGTCTCTGTGTGGTGAGTCTGTGGGTCTCTGTGTTGTGAGTCTGTGGGTCTCTGTGTAGTGAGTCTGTGGGTCTCTGTGTGGTGAGTCTGTGGGTCTCTGTGTGGTGAGTCTATGGGTCTCTGTGTGGTGAGTCTATGGGTCTCTGTGTAGTGAGTCTGTGGGTCTCTGTGTAGTGAGTCTGTGGGTCTCTGTGTGGTGAGTCTGTGGGTCTCTGTGTGGTGGGTCTATGGGTTTCTGTGTGGTGAGTCTGTGGGTCTCTGTGTGGTGAGTCTATGGGTCTCTGTGTGGTGAGTCTATGGGTCTCTGTGTGGTGAGTCTTTGGGTCTCTGTGTGGTGAGTCTGTGGGTCTCTGTGTGGTGAGTCTATGGGTCTCTGTGTGGTGAGTCTGTGGGTCTCTGTGTGGTGAGTCTATGGGTCTCTGTGTGGTGAGTATGTGGGTCTCTCTGTGGTGAGTCTGTGGGTCTCTGTGTGGTGAGTCTATGGGTCTCTGTGTGGTGAGTCTTTGGGTCTCTGTGTGGTGAGTCTATGGGTCTCTGTGTGGTGAGTCTGTGGGTCTCTGTGTGGTGAGTCTATGGGTCTCTATGGGTCTCTGTGTGGTGAGTCTGTGGGTCTCTGTGTGGTGAGTCTGTGGGTCTCTGTGTGGTGAGTCTGTGGGTCTCTGTGTGGTGAGTCTATGGGTCTCTGTGTGATGAGTCTGTGGGTCTCTGTGTGGTGAGTCTGTGGGTCTCTGAGTGGTGAGTCTATGGGTCTCTGTGTGGTGAGTCTGTGGGTCTCTGTGTGGTGAGTCTGTGGGTCT